AAAACATGGTTGCAATTGCAGGCAAAATACTCTTTGCGAAGGCCATCCTGCATGTTCATCCAGTTCGGATTCCCCTGGTAAAGCTTCAGGGCCACTGATGCACTCTTCTGCAGCCGCGTGAAGTTCCTCAGAGGTTTCACAGGGGCAAACTCACTACTTGTAACTTCACAATCTTTAGTTTCACACTAGTCAGTCTTTTGCACAAAAGCTTTCAACCATGTTCAAACCAAAGACTAAAACATCCAAGTGTCCTCAGCGCTTGGCAGTTGATGACAGCACCAAAGACTGTCTCCATGTTGGAGTAGCTCTTCGGAGCACTTGACACCAAAAGTGTCAAGCCAGAGGGCAGAATGAACTTGGTGTAGTCCAGATCCCAGATGAAGTCTTCCCTCAAGGCAATCACACAAAACATCTCAGATGGAAGGAAGGTACTCGGGAAGCATTCCAACCACAGCATCACATAGGAATGGCAAGCAGCAGTGTCAAGGGTAGTGTATCTGAGTCAAACTGACAGTGCAACCAAAAGGCGCTGCAGCATTTCCATCTGCATTCACTGGAGCTTCATCAGGAACTTCAGGAGCTTCAGCCACCTCTGATGCTTTTCGCTTCCTTAGAAAAGCGCAAGAACAGAACAAACCATAGTCAGTCAGAGGTCAACCTACTGAATACCTGATGAGAAAGTTTGCCTAGTCCTTTTTTCAACTTCAGTCATGTCAGACTCGACCAAGGGTCTTGGATGATGTAGATGGCCGTTCTGCACCAGTCCTCAGCTGGCATTGTAGGCTCATGGTCTTCACTGTTGTGCAGAAGCGGTCTCTTGACATGCTGAACAAGATCCAAGCCATTTTCCAACCAAGGCTCTGGTCATCATCAGAAACCTCAAGAGGCGCTTCCTCGCGATACCTCAAGGCAAAGCACAATCAAACATACAAATTGTGTGCTACACACAGCAACCTGCACTTGTTTGTTGAGAAGGGCTCTGAAAACAAACATGACATCATACAACATATCATAATGCACTACCAAGCCACTCTGCCCAGACTCCTTGTGCCTCTGGCACTTCACCCTCATCATCCACATCCCCCTCACCCTTCACCCTGTTGTGCTCCTCCATCCTCTTTCGATCCTGAGAGGTAGTGCAGCAAAGATACAGTGTGAACACCCTGGACAGCCTGTGAAGCTGGACACCCATCCCTGCACCATACCCTGAGTTAAACCAATGCTTCCACCACCTACAGGCAGCCAAGGTTCTCTGCGCAATTGCGCAGGAGTCTTCTTCTTCTTCCAAGGGGCGGCATAGATCGTGAGGTTGTGGATGGTGCAGTTATGCATCATATGAGCTGGATCCGCCATGGCCAGTTGCATGTAGCCGCTTGAAAGGCCAACGATGATGAAATTGCAAGCCAGTGGTGGTGAAATGACTGAAATATCAGTGGTTTTTTGTGTTTGAAGCAGAGAGATGTTGAATGAAGGTGGTTGGACATTCCTATTGTGGACCTTATTCCCCTTAAACATATTGTAGAAACTCCTAGCATGGCAGTTATTGTTTATGAGCTTGGCTGAGGTCATGCCAATTGAAGCTTCCCAGCATGGAAGTTGCCCTCTATGATCATGAGTGCCCACTGTGATCATGAGTGCCCATCTGAACTGTGGGGCTGCGGTTGCACATATGGCAACTGTGAGCTTAGCAATCAAAAAGCAGACACTGAAATAGGAGCATTGAGGAACTGACTGTGTCCAGGATCATCTGCTGCACACACGCCCCAACCTGCAAACAAGTAGTAAAGTCATCACTCAAAGAAGGCAGCAGAAGACATGACTCAAGACTCACACACAACCTGCAATGCAATAGAATTGTGAAAGGACGTGCGCCAAGAAAATTTGTTCTGCTTAGTTCATTCAGAGACACTGTTTGTTTTTGAGCTGCCTACAATGGTGCTTAAAGATATTCCAGCCTGTGAAAACATGCCTATAGCCATCAAGCAAGAACAGCCACATGGTGGTGCAATACATGTCAGCTTCAAATTAAACCAAATAGCTCAGGGTCCAACGTCCTCTACACTGCACCGCATGCAGCATGCATCCAGCCTCAAGCCATTGGACAGTCACAAAGTACAGGATCCACTGCAAGCACATGACAAAAATATATGCACAGTGAACAACAGGGATAAACAAAAGTCATCACAAGATTGACTGCCAGACTGAGGAAAAGCAGGATCATTTGCTGAGTGTGCACCCCAACCTCCAAACAAGTAGAAGTCATCACTCAAAGATGGCAACAGAAGACATGACTCAAGACTCACACACAGCCTGCAATGCAACAGAAGTGTGAAAGGAAAGGATGTGCACCAACACAGTTTGTTTTGCTTAGTTCAGACATCCCATAGTCTCACACCAGAACCCAACACTGCAGAATAGCAAGGTTGGGCATAACTCCTGGATTTCCAAGAGTTAGTCCAGCTTCTGGAATTCCAGAAGCTGGTGGGCAACAGAAAATTAGAGTTAGTCCAGCTTCTGGAATTCCAAAAGCTGGTGGGCCCAAAGGCAATTAAAGAAAACGCATTGATTCTCACACACTGACACTGTCACAACTCTGACAGTTATGCATTACTCCTGGAACTCACCAGATAGATGGGCAAACTTTGACTTGGGGCCACCAAGTCATACCTTCATGCAAGTTCACCCCAGGACGAACTCAGTAGCACAGCAGTGTGCATTTGTCCTTAAACCTAGTGGAAGGCAAACTTTGATTTGGCCTTCAAACCATACCTTTATGCCAATTCATGCCAGGATTCAGTGTAGAAAAACAATGTGCAATTGGTTCATCACAACAAATGGAAGGCCAACAACTTGCTGCCAAAGGCATTATCTCAGTCCCAGGTCATGCCTGGCTGGTGGAAAACAATACAACATTGGTCAATCATCCTCACCTGCCACAAAGTTAACCCTGGGTTTCACACGCGAACCCTGGAAAGGTGTAGAATGATGTGTAAAGGTGAACACAGAAACGACCCCCCCCAAAGCCAAACTGTTCCAAATGCTTGGTCGGAGCCATTCTTAGCCCTGTTATTTCCCATCATTTCCCGAAAAGGTCAAAAAGCAGAAGTGACAGATCACGATAGATCGTGCATAATTTTTTTTCAATATACTTTATATGTCCTTATAGCATAGAAAAAAGGGAAGAAAAGTGTATTGCGGTACCCAGGTTCTAATTGAAACACCATCAACCCATATCTTTGTGCCAGGCTAGGGTGGATAATAACCAAATCCTAGTGTTCAGTGTGCCAAAGCTGGAAACTAGACTCTAGTGACTCTAGTGTGCACTTTGCAGCGCATTCCTCTTTTTCAAGAGGCTCTATGTTTATTAAGTTAGGCTACTCTAAATCTTAATGATGATGACCTGCATCTAGCACCTTTCGGCGCATTCCTCTTTTGCAAGAGGTCCTAATTAAACAGAAAAAATCCACATCACACCCCCCCCCTGCCCCATCCCACCCCCCCTGCCCCATAAGCTCCATGACACTGGTGCTGCTGAAGTCGCTGGGGGAAGCTCTGAAGGTGAAAGGGCAATTGGGCATTTGGCAATTGGGGTTTGTAAGCCTTTTCCCCATCACCCCAATACAAATATGTGTTCAGTGTAGTGTAGTGGGTTCAGGGTGTGCCCCTCAAACTAAAAACTAGTGACTAGTTGAACCTTTCACCATCCACTCCCTCACTCGATCACCCCAATACAAACATCTGGGATCAGTGTGGTGGGTTCAGGGTGTGACCCTCAAACTAGTGACTAGTTAACCCTTGCACCATCCAATCCCTCACCCCATCACCCCAATACAAACAGCTGGGATCAGTGTAGTGGGTTCAGGGCATGCCCCTCAAACATGAAGATAAAACTAGGGACCACTTAACCTTTCCCCTTCCAATCCCTCACCACATCACCCCAATACAGTCATATGGGATCAGTGTGGTGTTGCATGTTCATGGGTTGATGCCCAAAGATAAGAAATGCAACCACATTGTGATCTTCTAGGTGGCATGCCTGAACTCATCCCACCACCCATCCACCCATCCCATCAACGCATCACCCATTCCAAGTTCCATGATGCTGATGCTGTAGAAGTCTCTGGAGAAAGCTCTGAAAGGGCAGCTGCAGGGAACAAAACCTTTTACACAAACCCACTCAACCTGTTCCCCATCCAATCCCTCAACTCCTTCACACCAATACACATATATGTGATCAGTGTAGTGTACTGGGTTCAGGAGGTGTCCCTCAAACATAAAGACAACTAGTGACTATCTAACCTTTTCACTTTCCAGTCCCCCACCCCTCACCCCAATACAAAATATGGGATAAGTGTAGTGTAGTGGGTTCAACAACTAGTGACTGTTTAACCTTTTCACCATCCAATCCCTCACACCACCACCCCAAGACAAAGATATGGGGTAGTGTACTGGGTTCAGTGTTTCCAAACATAAAGATACAATTAGTTACTAGTTAACCCTTTCACCATCCAATCCCTCACTCCATCACCCCAATACAAACAGGAATGAAAACTCCAAATAGAAATGAAAACATCAACTAACAGTGAGGTGGCTTTTTTCCATTTCCCTTTCCTTTTCCTTGCCCATTGCTTGTCCTTTGTTTTTCTGTTTCCTTTTCTTTTTCCTTTTCCTCTATAAGACAAGCCAAGAGCACGAAAAAACAAACAATCCTAACAAAAATATCAAAATAAAATCCGAACCCCTTTTGTTTCCACGATCGAAACAACTTTTCGGAGGCCCATCTGGGCTAGATACTGGGATCTTCCGATGTGGGCGGTCTTTTTCTGAATCAGCTGTTGCTCAAACTCTCGATCACAACTGCTACAAACACAAGCCCAGTTGGAGCGACCGGTGCCGGGATGACACATTGACTGCCTCGCAATATTGGCAAACGAGTCCAATTCCTTAAGTGGCAAACGAGTGGCACCCAGTGGCGCAAAGCAACAAGAAAACGGGCTGAGGATGTCTTCACCAGACTACTGGACGAGCAGTTTAGAGCTTTACAAGGCGGCCGATCTGGAGTAAAGTCGATGAGCAAGTTGTAGACTTTTGATTAGTAAACCTCCCATATGAAGAGGATGTCCAATTCAAATGGTGGGGGTTATAAATCAAGAGTCTACAGTATGTTTTCGGTGTGTATTCAGAGGAATGCTGAGCCTGGGATCGTCGAGGCCGGCCCAAGTTTATCGTCAAATATCGTCAAATTACTTTCATTGTGCATACACATGGCCGCATGGAGATTCTCATGTATATAACCCGCAAACAAATGTCTTGTTACATGGCTCCATGCTGGCTTGAAAAGAAGGCTCCACGTCCAGCTTGGTTTTGTCTTGATCGTTATGTCACGACTCAGTGATGCACCCTTCCTCTCCGGAATCGTTGGATGTCGGGGTCTCAATCCATCCCTGATGAAGTCGTTGAACCACAATGTGCGAGAGAGGTATAAAGTGCCTTTAGCCTTGGCGTACGTGGTTCCCATCACTTTTTTTAATAATGAGTCCCCAAAAATAGGCCCAAGAGAAAACCCCCAACCGTCGGGCATGAATTCCCTATATTTGGAAATGGCAGCATCGAAAGCTCACTAGCAAGCCGTGTCTTTGCCAGACAAAGCTGCTTTGAAACGCCTGACCCTTTGCACTGTGCCATGCAAGCATCGACAACACAAGAACCACGGGAAACTCCTGTGGAAGCGGCTCTGGAGCCTGCCAGCATGTCAGCACGATAGCATGACCTGACGTCAGCATCCCAGCGTGACAAGAGTCAGCATGCTAACGGGACCCATGTCAGTGTGCCAGCATGACAACATCCCCACGACTGCCTGAGAACACGTTTGCATGACAGCCGGCATACAGAACATGTTAGCGCGTCTACATGTCTCCAATCAAGCATTACAAACATGCGTCAACATGCCATCATGACACCGGAACCTGCTCCCGAACCTATATACTCCGGAACCTGCTCCGGAACTTGCTCCGGAAACTGCTCTAGAACTTGCTCCAAAGTTTTCTACTATGGCTGAAGACCCCTAAGCTTCGCTGTCCTTCCCAAACAGCAGTCGCTTTAAACAAGGCGGCAGGGTATTTTGCGAATCAAACCATTGACAGTGTGTGGGGGGAGATAAAGATGTTCAGACGTCAAATGACGACCAGTCCAGGCCAAGGCCACCCACTTTCCTAGCCCTACAGATCCTCCTGCATGTTGTGCCCGGGTTCTTTGTCTTGCGTTGCGTGGATACGAACTTGGCTCTGTTTTTGTGACTCGTGCTTCGCAGGGATCTTGACTGGCGTGGGCTCCGCTGAAATTCTAGGCGCACCGGAAGCGGAAGTCAGCGGAACGGAAGCCGCCCCTTTTCCGGGACCATTAGGAGAGGATGACAATGTTCCACAGACACATATATGAGATGAGGTACTGCACCATCAAACTGGTTTCTGTTTTGGGCGGTTGTTGACGTTTGCTGAGGTTGAAAGTATTTGGCCTCACTCCCACCCCCGAATCAACATAGTAAGATAGGACGGTCCAAGAGCCTTTGTCATGTGTTTGATCAAGTTTATATCCAGTAGGCTTCTCCGAGGGCAAAATTATGCCATAGGTAGAGGGATGTAGAGGGCCCACCCAGCAAACACTTGGTAGTCACGTGCTATACTGTTGCATCCCTTTGACTTTGACCTTCCAATGGTCCCAAAACGTAACTTTGCAAACTGATGCTGATGCTCCCAAACTGAACATTTGATGAATCGGCACCTCCATCAAAACACATGTATTGCAAGACACTCCATGGGACTGGCATAGGACTGCCGATCAGGCCAGGGTGGTGCCATGGGGGGTCAATGGGTCGGCACATATGGCAGTCCCAGACCCGTCGTGTCTGGGTATTGCAAGACATTTCTCAGAGAAAATCCACACTCCTCGGTGCGCGAGGTCCTGTGGGCATCGTTCAGCAAGGCGAAGAGCTGGTGGCCTCGGTGTCTCGGTACTGACGACCGGACGACTTAGGCCCTACTCCACTTGTTTTTGTTTTCTCTTGTTTGACATGTTTTGAAGCTCTATGGTGTTGTTTCTTTTTCCCGTGTCTTTGGAGTCGGGTTTCCCCTTCGTTCGACCCCCAAAAAATGGGTTTCCTCCAAAAGTAGATCGTGTGCTTCCTGAATCTTCCTCGTGCTGGAGTCGACACTGGATTGACCAATGACAAACTGTCCTGGTCCTACACAATCATAGCAACACCAGGACCCTCGGTACAAAGGATGAATGACATGCTCCCCTGCGATGATCTTTGCGACCGTCCCTGCTTGACCTCACAACACCGTTGTAAAAGACGGATCTCGAAAGACGGCGTTCATGTCGAGCAGATGATCAACTTGCTAGGTACGGGAACAAATTCTGCACCAGCTTGGAATAAACCAACATGTTCAATGCTTCGAGACCACATTGCGCCCAATGACAAATTCATCAAAGAACCATTAACCAAAAAAATCACATGAATCGGCAGTCAGTAAACAGTAATGACCTACATTTCGTGAATTCCACAGTTGTTTTTTCTTGCGTGCAGGATTGCTCTGGAAGGCTTTAGTACAAATCAATGCATCCCTAAAACCAGCCCGTTGTTTAAGGGTTCCCAGAATGTCCCATAGTTTACCGTCTCCGTCACCATCATGGTGCTGGACTCAGAATCTAACTTATAGTACGGAACCCCATATGGTCCCATGCGGTACGTACCGATGGTCCCGGTACCGATCCATCAAGGAAGGCCTCATCGGCGTCTTTATCTTTTTCGTGGCTCGGCCGGGATCGGTGGGTCGGTGGGTCGGTCGATGAGGTGAATCCGGGTGACGCCGTTTGAAAGAAGGCGAAGGCTCAACACCCGAAAAGAGCAACGTATGTGATGAGGCTACTTTCAATTGAGGTTATATGATGTTATATGTTGTTTCGAAGAATGAATGAACTTTCAACAAGACTGGAACTTGCTATAGGTCTGCGCTGCGAAGGCTCGCGAAGCCACTGGCGTAGGCTTCACAAGTTGACAAGGAGAAGCCAAATTGCAAAGGCACACTTAGATTCAATGAATGGCAGAAAGAGAGCCCGCAAAACCGTTTCGCAAAGACCACTTGGCATCCGTGAAGCCTTGCAAAGTCCATTTGTCCATGAATGTTTGCCCTGGGAAGCCTGTAGCGTAGGCATTCCAGCAGTGCCAATACTACTAGGCACTTGACTCAAAAAGGACACCTCAAGTGGTTGGGAATGGATTAGTCTTCAACCTGGCTTCACCCAGAAACCGGCACAGATCGTTTGGGCTTCCGACCAGCGTGCAGCGGTCAGTATAGCGGATCCACATATAACCATTGTGTGGAAGCTCCCGAGCTCGAGCTCGACTGGTGGGAAGAACACATGCGACTTGGATACTTTGGGAAGAACACATGCACATGGACATACGGTGACACATCTATCCCACCACTCCATGGGACTGGCAGTTCGGACTGCCGAGTGGCACGGCGTTGTGGTGTGGTGCCATGGGGGTCTGGCTTGATCGGCAGTCCGGACTGGCAGTCCCAGACTCGTCGTGTCTGGGATGTAATAAGGGAATCTGCGTCGGAGCCTTTTTGCAAGAGCCTGCCGAAGGCTCCACTCCATGGTTCTTCATGGTTCTTGTCATGTTGATAGATGCCTAGCCTGGCGGCCCGGCATGATTGTTGATGCTTGCCAGCGGGACTTGGCGCAAGACACCAAAACAGATCAATATTGTTTGAAGAGGCAGAAGTGGAATTGATCATGGAACAGTTGTAGAAAAAGGACTCCTGGAATCACCCTCTAGCCCCTGTCACGTTCAGATCTTCGAAATCCAAGCGGTGACAGGCCATATCCCCTCAGACAGGCAACTGGGCCCAGGCCCATGGCCCATGTTGCCTTGATGAAGAGCTGGCTCAAGGCTAACTCATGTTTGCATTGTTTCTTCAGGTCAACTGCCATTGCAACAGGCGCTGACAAGCGCTGGTTGTCTATACACATTAAAGACGTTGTCAGCCAGTTGATTCTGCCAGTCCATCGGATTTTGTCCGTTTGGAAACCTATCATTCACGTGTTTTTTTCCATCTTCAGGGACTTCAGAAGATCTTCCAGCCTTCCAGCGAGCTGCGAAACAGCAACTTCTTGCCCCCCTATATGGGCAATTCAAGCACCGTGTTAGCTTGACATGCTGACCCCGAGAAACTCAGGTGACGATCAACCTCAATTTGGTCGTCCAGCTGAGAGGGGCGAGGGTCAGCGGGGCTTAGAGGGCGATTCGAGGCTTAAGCGTAACGGAGCCCCAGGGGGTTGAGATGTTGAATGCTCAGCATATCTCAGCATGTTTGGTGGTAACCTCAATTTTGAATGCGGGTAAGATAACCTTGACATACCTTGACGCTTTTTTGTGCGCTTAAGACAATCAGACAAGTGAACTTGAGCAACCACACAAGTCAACTGGGCTTTGCTACAGGGTATCCGAGTCCCATCACACATATTCTTTCAACATTCCTTATCCCCAAGTCAGGCTGGATGACTCAGCACCTACAAGTATCAGCCATCATGAATTGTGAGGATTTATCATGCATCACGAATCAGTCGGTTAGTCGAGACATGCCACTGAATTCGACACCAGTTCGACACACCCAAAGAGATTCACGTTCGGAACGAGCTTCGACACACACAGCCCAGGCGTTCATCAACGCGTTGCCATTGCCCGCCTTGGATGGCGGCAAGGCCTTCTTCGTCCTGGTCGAGCAGGCATCGGGTGGGCTTGCCCAGTGTTGGGCAACGATGGGCCTTCCACTGAGAAGTCCGTTCAAGTCTACTTTTTCATCTTTTTTCAGCCTGGTGTTGATGGGTAGGTCAACTAGATCTTGTGGGATCTTGCGGGAAGAAGATCTCAGGATGCTCACGGTCCAGTGGCACCAGGTGCTCGGGAGGCGCGTGGACGAACGAAAGAAGCAGGACATCGAGCAGCCTGGAGGGGCACCGAGTTTGGGCCAGTCGGTTGGATCTGGAGATGATGTTCTCCCATTTGGCACCAGTCTGTTGCAGACAAAGAGCTGGTTTGAGGACCTCTTAGTGTTTCTAGAGCTCAGAGGTCGATGTGGGTTATGGCGCGAAGCACTGGTTGAGGGCCCTGAGTGTGCTGTGCTGAATACCTTGTTCCAGAAGCTATAAAATTAGATACACACCATATTGTCCCTCCGAGCCCAAGCGATGTTTCTTCTGTGATACTAGTTCCACGTGTGGAAGATCCTACATGCGGTGCGGCTGCAGGTGGCTAATTGCGGATCGAAGAAACATTGAACCGGTCCAATCGCTCTACCCACGCGCTAGCCACTACCTACCCGCTACCCTTGTCTTTTGGGTTCAGTGCGGTCAGAGGTTGGCAGATTTCTTGGTTCAATGTTCCAAGCCCTCTGCCTAGGCTGGCCTTCGTGCTGCTGGTCTTACTGGGTTTGGCCTCCTTGACCGTGAAAGATGTAAGTCGGCTCTTCGGGCAGTAGCACAAGGCGACAAACAGTCGATCTTCAGAAGGTTTCTGGACGTCCGCTAGCAGATGTTTGGATTGTGTTCCTTTTAGGAAAAGTGATTGAATATGCCCCTGCCCAGTGCCAGGGGCCAGGGGGCCTATCCTTTGTCCCACAAAACACTTGCTACCCAGGTCTGTCCATTGATTCGTGTTGTCGCAGACACTCGCCCCTTGGGACCATGGTACGGACATCGCCCCTTCCGTTGGTTGTATCATCCCTAGGGCTCCTGGCCTATGCCTTATGAGAAGAGTGGGTTTATGGTGGGTGCCAGGGGGGTCTAACCCCCGGACCGGAGGATATGGGCCAGGAGCCCTAGGAAATTCAAGGCGGTCTATGCCGAGCTGAGATGATGATCCCAAGGTCTATGACGGCTGTTCTCTGCAGCAGAACCAATCTACGTATGACTATCGCTTGGGGAAGCTCTTCCCGACCACTGGTTAATCGCATGGTATAGGCTCCCTTAATTCATACTATGAACTTGCGCTTGGAGAGGGAGGCATCATGTTGCAAGCCCCCTTTGCTTCACACCTAGCCCAAGGTACAAGTTTCAAGGCACATTTGTACGCAAAGATTTGAAGTGACCGACAGCTGACAGCGCAGCTTCCCCACTGGATATTTTCTGTGTCAAACAAAAAACAATACGCAGTTTGGTTATATGATTCAACGCCGAGTGTTCAATATGCATAGGCAACACATAGAATTGCTTTGGCAGGTTCCTTCTGCAAAGAGCAAAGAGCTTTTATTTGTTCAATCGATGACCGCAGGTGATGACGTTCCCGATGACACCTGGCAGTACTGTAGTGGCTGAGTGAGCCGAAACATGCGATCCCTGATCTCCCAGTGTCTCAAGCCGCCTTTTCTCCAGATGCAATCGATGCGCCAGTTCAAGATTGATCCAACATGAAAGGCTGACCTAGCACACGCGTGGTAAAATGTGGGGTGGGGGTGACATGAGTTTGTGGTTTGTGGCTACTTTAAAATGTAACTGATTTTGCATTCATGATGATTTGGGAGACAGCTTTGCAAAGAGCTGTTGTTTGGGAGACATGCCCTCTGAAAACTGAGCTATGAAAGAACGGGAGTCAGCGATGTTCTTTGTGTTGCCAAGTCGTCCCGCCTTCCAGCAACTCTTTAAGCATAGAACTGGCTGCTGGAACCAGTGTATATATATATATATATAGGTGTTTGAAGGATTGGGGCTGGTTTCTGAGTTATTTATGATAGTGCAATTGTTTGATCAACATCGACTCGATCGACTGGTTCAGCGATGTTTTGTTTTGTGAAACAGACTCTACACAACTACACAAACGATGTTTCTTTTTGTGTGTGTGTCATGTGTTTTTTTGTGTGGCCCTTATTTGAGTAGGCGCCTACTTTAAAAAAGTAAGCTACTATAGGTAATCCGCTACTATCAACTGGACGCAGGATAGCTGAAGCTTCTTCAAGGAAGCTCCCCCGAAGCCCTGGCACCAATCAATTGGTTCCTAGATTTTTGTTGAGCATTTTTTGGAAACTTAATGCGGGGCGGTTGGGAGAGGAAGTTAGGAAGTTGGAAGGGCGATCACTTGCAGGTCAAAGGGTCCAGAGCAAGGCAGAAACCAGATAAGTGTTGTCAGTACAACTAAAGAGCCATTGGTATAAAGTAGAACATCATCATTACCAATGGCTCTTTATAGAGTAGAATGGCTCTTTGTCCAATGGTATAAAGTTCCTTTGTCTTGGAACATCATTGGTCCAATCACGGAGACAGCTACTTCCACGTTTGAAAGCTGGACCAATCAGCGAGGACGAGCACAAAAGTCATTCCTTTGTCATTCCTTATCTGGTTCGCGTGACGCTCTGCTGATTGGAAGCCACTTCCACTGTAGTGAGTCGCAGTGTGTATATGAGTGTATGCGTGTATGGTAATCATGTTGAATTTGTTTGGTTCCCCCCAAAGCACGACGTGAGGGTCCTTGCTCTTGGTGTTGACACAAGTCTCATCCCCTAGACTGGCAGATGGACATTTTTTGTGAGCTTGTACCTCACTTTCACTTGTTTGCTGTCCCTTTGATTAGGAAAACATTCCATGGACATATGCAACCTTACTGTTTCAACATACGGATCAATCTTGAGACTTTGCTGGAAATCTTACATTCTTGTGAATGTGCCTTTGCTCAACTTGGTCTTCTGGAGTCTTCCTTGTAGACTGGGCGTGCCACTTTAAAGAGCAACGCCTTGGTTCATCAATCATTCGGCAGAAAAGGGCCACAAAAGGGCCTGCCGGCTGGAAGAATAGCCATACAAGTCAATGCCAAAAAGAATGCACGCTTGTCCTTCAACAGGCTTATTGACCTTATCATTGACGGGTCGGGCTTGCAGACGCGCACCGTATAAGTCAGTAAGTCAGTGGAATTGATGGGAAACTTCGGAATCGCGAACACATACAACAACAATGGGATACCAACCTATATACTTCCATAGATGCAAGTGTGATCAGGATGCAGGATGCACATGAACAGAAGGCGGTGGACATGCTTGGATTTGGAGCGATACTTTGCTTTTGCATATAGATATTGTATATAATTCGGTGTGCAAAAGTATGTGTTTCCGGGGCATGTGCGTGGTCCGGGGCAGGCAGCGTGCTTTGGGGAGAAGAGAAGTTAGCCCTGTTACGCAATGTTTTGCCACAAAACACAACAGCCCATGGATGATTTGGCATATCCCTGGACCATCCAATGGGTGTCCAATGGACAGGTCTCCGTTGGGCACTGATGGAAGTGCTAGGTCCCATCATATTCCCAACATTATTCCCAAGCGGTGTAGCCGCTGTGAGTCGTCCCGTGTCGCAGATAGATTGCCTGGCACTGGTATGAGGATCAGTAGATGTTCATCCTGGTTTTGCTTAAGGTGTTTTTTTGATGTTCCCCATGTGTAAATCCCCTTCTGGGGAATATAACTTTATGTTTATTTCCAGGTTCCTTAAGCAAATCCAAGTCTTTGGGCAACAGCTTGTGCAGGTCGTACATTGGAAATCGCACTGACCATTGACATGCAAAGTGTTACTGCACATTCAAGTTTGTTTTACTTTCACCTTCCATGATCTGACTGTTGCTGCTCAACGGAATACACAAATTCACTGCGGCATATGTAAACCTTTCGTGGAACTTGTTTGGCCAAACACCCCTCGCAATGAAACTGTCCTTGCTCCAACTCAACATCAGCTCCACTCTGGCAAGAGCTCCGAGGCCAATGCCTGGGAGCATTCTCCGGAACCAGCACAGACAGCTCCCAACCCATCACACATGGGGGCACCGATGTCAGGGTCAGCGGCGCCAATGGCAGCACCTATGGGGGCGTCAATGGCAGCGCCCACGGCAGCACCCATGGCAGGGGCGATGGCAGCGCCTGGCATGGGTGGCCCGATGGGTGGCCCCATGGGTAGCCCCATGGGTAGCCCCATGGGTGGCCCGATGGGTGGCCCGATGGGTGGCCCGATGGGAGGCCCGATGGGTGGCCCGATGGGTAGCCCGATGGGTAGCCCGATGGCGCCAATGGGAGGGCCAATGGGAGCACCGATGGGGGCACCGATGCCAATGGGAGGGCCGATCGCAGGGCAGATGGCAGGCCCCATGGGAGGTTCGATTGGGGGACCAATGGGAGGGCCGATGGGAGGGTCAATGGGGTCGGGGGGTCCGATGGGAGGGCCAATGGGGGGGATGGGTGGGGGCCCAATGGTGCCAACAGCACCCACAACAGGGCTGATGGCAGAGATGGCGCTGCAGGCGCCGGCGATGGCGGCCGAAGCAGAAAGGACAGGTCCGAATGCGGACGCAGAGCATTTGGATTGGTTAGCCGTCGGGCTTGACAAGGGAGTGAGTAATACTTGTGTAGGATGTAGGGAAATCCATGAAGACCTTCAAGTGGAAGAGATGATTTCAATTAAATCGTTATCCCGCGTTTTAGGCTTCATGTTCATGGCTCTTTCAATCTGGTGTGACTGAACATTCGGGATCTTTAGAGATAATGGACCAGGCTCAATACTGCAATTGTTTTAGAGCTAATTTGTGGAGAACAAGCCTTGTGGTGGTCATGAAGACTTTGAAATCGTTGAGAAGAACCCGTCTTGTGGGAGATGGGACTGATTGGCGGCGCTTCCTGTGCCAAGCAAGGCAGCAATAGGCTGAGGATCAATGCAACGCCTCCATCCAGCGGTGAGCGAGCTAGGGCAAGCCCCACAGGTCCCACAACATGGGCTGTGCATCAGAGTGCAAAAAAAATGGCAGTTCTTGACATCCCTAGTGAAACGTGTTTATATAACATTTTGTGTAGGGGTCAATCATTGGGGTCCCATTGTTATTGTCATCAAGACTGCCAGAGTCTCAACTCCTATATCAAACAGAGACGGAAAAGGAACTTCCTATGTCAAGATGATGGCAATTTGCCTCGGTGAGACCCATGAGACATCCGTTTTCCGTTTTTCCATGCAGGACACCATGACTTGCAGTCTAAGAATCGAAACTCACCCAAAAAAAGTCGATTCCAGGAGTAACCCTTTGGGTACTGAGTAGCATGTTGTCGTGGTCCTACCATCCGCAGGAGTTGGGATGGCAATTGGGATCCTAGCTGGGATGGCAACTGGGATCCTGGCTTCCAGGCACAGGTGGAGTTCCAACGCGGAGATGGGTCATTTGTCGCATCGAACTACGTCCATACTTGGATTTTCTGATGACATTGCAGTTGGAGAGAGTTACTGCGCGTTGATGTAACGTTTTTGTTGGACATATATTATACATTAAAAAAACAACAAACTATATATATATATGCATATTTTGGGAAGGATCGTGATCAAAACTCTTGGCAGACAACAATGATCAGCATTGGTTCGGAGCATGCATCCATGCACGCATGCATACAATAACATGTGTTTGGTGCGTTTTGTGTGTGTTCATGTGTAGTAGTTATATGTGTTGAAAGCACGCAAAGGCTTTCTCCAAGTAAGCCTCGGCCACTCGAATTGTTGGATTCTTATGAGATCATGTTGGTGATTCCTTTGGGCGCGTTATTCCTAGTTCATATGGATTGCAAGAAGGCTCATCAACGGAATCCTAGTTTAGTTGCGCGTCCGCAGGGCATGATGCCGATGCCAGCAGTTCCACAGCATGGAACTCAGATCTTGAGAGTAGGATGGGCGGAGGATGCGTTTTAGACAGAGATAAACCTTTGGGAGTTTTTCTATTTTGTCCCCGTGAGGGTTTATTCACATTGGTGGATGAAGTGTAGAGTAGTGTGGATGGATAACATGACTTATATACCTAGCAGTTGCATTTCAAGGTGTTTTGAACCCGATCTTGCTCATAAGCTTCCCCAACCGGAGAAAAAAATTTAGTTTCGCGGTTTTTGAAGCACTAGTTCCAGTACCTGTTACAGTATCATGCCTACTGGATTTTCAGTGGTTGCATACAGTTGCCAAACCCTGGCCTTGTTAAACGAATAATGGGACCAAGAGCTGGAAGACCCCAGTCTCTGGCCCTGATTGTCCACAAAACAAAAAACTGAGCACCTACTACTACTGCTACTACTCCTGCTCCTACTACTATATACTACTACTACTACTACTGCTACTACTGTAGGACTTGAGCCTTGCAGAGTTTGGCCGCCGACACCTGCCGAGGGGCCAGCAATGCACAAAAAAGGTCCAAAAGAGCAAGCAGTTGGCGCTCCATCTCAATGTTGCAGCTCCAAGAGAGTCGGCAAAAGGTCTTGTAACAACCACTTGTAGTTCAAGGATCTATAGTCTCATTATGGTCTACACATGTGTTTTTCCTTTGCCACTTCGTTGGTGCTTTTGATCTGCCCCCAGTTGGACACATGGGAAAAACTAGATCGTTTAGAACATTCTCGAACCTGTTGATTGGTCGGGCTAGGTCTCTATTCACCACATTCTGTCTCAAGTTCTTCTCCCAGGTATCCTTCGTTTGCCTGAGTCTCAAGGGGGATTTGGAACGTGTTGGTTTGGTGGGTCAATAGTGCTGAAGCTTCATTTTGAGCTGCATGAAAGAGACCTTTTGTGATCCATAGTCCGCACAGTCCAGGGTGGGGTCGAAGTTGCGAAGCGGTAGAGTGATGCACTGATGCTGGATTTCTTTATGTTTCTCAAAATCTTTTGCGGAATTGTTCACGCATCCGTGAAGTCTAAGGTTGGTAGACCTGTAGAGTGCTTTGAAACCATAATCTCAACTGGTGACTCTGAATATCCAGTGCGTGTGAATACCGTTGGTATCCTGATGTACCCCGTAGCATAGCCACATAGCTTGCCCTTCTAGCCTGGCTGTTACACTGTTGTCACCAGGATCAGGGCGGTGTCCTGAAGGGTTTGCTTTGTCCTTTTTTGGTCTACAGCGTTTTGGAACAATCCCACCAGTGCTGGGAAGGTCCTTGCGAGTTGGGAGGTCCTCACGGTAGGTAGACGGTATAGACGGCCATACACATATTGGCCACTAGCTCCAATCTACCAGTCACTGCTTTCAGGAACCACTCAAACCACTTCCTAGTCGGTGTTTTTCTCATTGTCCTCCAGCCCAGCTTCTCAAGCGCCGTTCAGAATGTGAGGTGTCCGGAGGGGGTACCAGCTCTTCGACGATGTGCAAGTTTTATGCGCAGAACCGTTGCTTGCCGGGGCACCCAGTCCGGACCTGCCGACCGGTCCGCCCTACCAGTCCGGACGGTGTCCGCCTCAGGAAGGGCGACCTGTGCCCCTTTCAGCACGGCCCACCGCTGGAGCTTCCCAGCTGCACCGGCACGGAGCTGCCCGCGGCCTTCCAGGCGAAGGGGACGTCACGGCGCGGCATGGAACGTCAGAGATCGGGGGGTTCGGAGGCCGATGGAATGACACTCCGCATGGGTTCAACAAAAGATGTATATAGTTGTATCATGTTCTGGTGTATGTAGTCTCTATCTCATATATATATATACATTATAATCTCCCGTCAATCTCAGAATCGATGTGGGGACTGTCCGTACGCCCCAAGGGCCTTACCCGCAAGGCCTTACGAGTACTGGCTCCTCAGCAGCCTGGGGGACCGCCGCCCGTGGCCTCCTTGCCTCAACTTCCACGTGGCGGATCACAAGGCTGTTGATGATGGATGACTGCCTAGTTCATGGTACTGTATAGGTATGCCTATAGGTAGTAAGATCTATATAGTAATAGTAACATCTATAATTGCACAGACTCGATCAAGTTGTGGCTGAATGAGGGGAATGCTTGGTCTCTCCTCCACCCCCCTGTCCGAGGCCCGCCCTTGCCACAGATGCCAGTCAACGCGGCTGCGAGCCTCCCCACACTGGCCCCGGTGCTGCCCACAGCGCCAACTGAGCCCGCGCTCGCGACGCCCAGCGCGTTGCCCGCCCCTACGGCACAGCCGGTGTCCATGGCGCCCGTGACGTCCACACCCAGCGCCACTGCGCAGCCGCCTGAAGCGCCCACTACGCAGCCGACAGCGCCAGTGGCAACAAAAGCACCCAAGCCTGGGCCTTTGAGTCTGGTGGAAGAAGAGATGGAGGAACACTCTTAGACCGTGGGGAAGCATTGAGACAAAAACCAGAGTTTATGCACCACATGTGACCCCTTCCGCGCAGAGAATGTTGCACCATGTTTAGCTCTTGTGTTTTTAGTAATACAAAATACTACTTCCAAGGCCACATCGAAAAGAGATGGAAGATCCATGCAACCACTGGAACCACATACAACTAAAAACCTTTTTAGTGGCGGGTCTCCCAAATACGCCCATAGATAACATGATAATATATATATATGTATATATTATATTATATATATTTAATGTTGCATACAAATTAAAGATAAATCAACGGGTAAAGTCCTGCAGCGGAACTCTTGTAGCTTGTCGACTTGGGACTGGCCCATTCGAAGCGCCAAGAAAATCATGCCCGCATTCGTAGGCCGGGATGGGACCTGAGGACAAGCATGGACAAAGCAAACACATGTTCCCTGTTACTAGTAGCTATTAGTTCTTAGTAGTAATGCCCTTTGTTATTAGTAGCGATGCCAGGAGCTACGTTCGTAGCGTCCTTGCTCCGTTCGTAGCGACGCTCTTTGTTACTGGTAGCGATGCACCAAAGCAATCACATGTTCCCATGTCCTGTTTAGTCGTGTTTGATGTTTCCCTCTTGGGGAGATAGTAAGAGGCTGCATGCATATACATATATACATTTACATATTATACATATATATCCATGTTGCATATCAAGCAGTAAATTAAATGCATGGACATTGTTCTCGCTACCTGCATGATGTGTGTGGCACATGTTGCAGATTTCGACACAAAGACAAACTAACTTGATAGTTGCCTCATCCTTGTAGGATGTCAGCAGGATTTGTAAGGAGCATAAGGAGCATGTTCCTTTGCATGCGAAAAGCACTCATATTATTTGGCAGCAGTACAATCCCTCAATAGTTTGCGAATGTATAGAAGGTCCAAAAAGGTTTGGGATCCCTGCAAGCTACCAAAGTTGATCAGTTGGCCAGCGCTGCCCTCCCATCAAAAGGTATTGCAGTGCCTTCGCCTTTGCTCAAAATACGTGGCTAGTTTTCACTGAGGCTTTGCAAGCTCTATGATATGGGCGGCTGCACAAAAGGTGCTTCTGGTGGGCGTGATGGGGCCAGCGAACGAGCCCGAAGTATCGCCGCGCTGTTTTACTATGATCACTGGTCACTGCGGAAGTATAGCTGGAAGTCTGTCTATTGCCAGCTACAATTGGAATGATGGATAGTGGTCCAAACATGTCCGCATAGGGTCTAACTCAGAACGAATGGTCTCAGACAATATTCTTTTTGGCCAAATAGATTAGATAGATAGATAGATAGATAGATAGATGCTATTCGATATAATCAATATAGATAGATAGATGGATGGATAGATAGACAGATGCTATTCGATATAATCAATATAGATGTGTTTTCAAGCAAATGGTTGTGGTGTTGTGCTTGTGGATTGAAGCTGGCAGAAGGTCACATGCACCCAGATATGATATTGGTCGCCATCATTTACTCAACAGCTGTTGTGTGACATGACACGATGTCATTTGATGTATATATATAGACCGGTAAGAGATGATTAAGAGTCTCTCCAAGTAGATCACTAGTTTATGTTTACGCGGAGTCGGACCCCAGCCAATGAGTATGAACATGTATGAACCACTTATGAGCATTCCCCCACATCTCAATGCTTTCAAGTGTGGCTTTGGTCTATTTACGACTCACTGCGTTTGTGCAAAATGTACCGCATTGTCCCGCAAGTTGGACACTCACACTCTCCTGCAGTAAACTAATATAGGTATGGACCACGTTGAAGGTACAGGCCTTGTCACAAGGCACGCTGCAAGACACTGAAGTGAGTTTGGTCGTGCACAACATTTGATGTAGTTTTATACTAAATTATGACTTCATTCCTCCAAGGGCAACGTCCAAGTCCCCCTAACCAAAGATAGAAAGTGTCTGGGGTGCACTCTGAGATTAAGAGTTTCTTCATGGACACAACATGCATATAGGTCTCATGGTGTTCTGGCTGCGAATCCCACAAGCCTTCCAAAGGTGAGTTTGTGAAAAGAGATGTGCTGCTTAGCCTGATCAGAACTACGTATCCTTTCATTCTGGGGAGTTTATGTGGTGCATATATGTATACACCATATATACAGAAAGCACCCAAGGTCTGATGCTTTTTGATGCTTTGCACAAAGCGCATTGCTTTCGACCCAAGGTTTGTCTTCGACACCAGGCGACCGGGTGTGACCCACCGGGGCCGACGGCGGCCAGGTGCGGATTGCCCCAACTGCCATGGGCAAGAGGACGGACCGACCGTGACGCGGATGCACGTCATTTGCCGCAGGATGCCGTGGAGCGCGATGCAGAAGGAAAAGAGCCACCGGATGGGGTGTCCAAGCAAGTAGAACAACACTGCGAGTCTGTTCATGAAGCTGTCCAGCTTCCTTTCCAAGCAAACAGAGTCTGTTGTAACACAGCTCCTCCACACGATCTCGCTCTTACTGTCATGTAGGTGAAAGGCTCGACAATATATGAACGTAACATGGCAAGCAGTACCAAAGATCGATGTGTATATGTATACATTTATAAGTATATATATATGTATTATAGGAGAAGCAGTAGGAGTATATATGAGTATTATATATATATGTATATATAATTGTAGGAGTAGCTCTGGAGATTCTGCAGTAATTTTAGTAATAGCTCAGTAGCTCTGAATATTTTAGGGAAAGCTTTAGAAAACCAGCAAGCATTTTAGGAATAGCTCTGGAGATTTTAGGAATAGCTCTGGAGATTCAGCAAGCATTTTAGGAATAGCTCTGGAGATTTTAGGAATAGCTCTGGAGATTCTGCAAACATTTTAGGAATAGCTGTAACTTCCTCACAGAAATGGCAAATAAAGAAGCCAAGGCATGTCCTAATAATTATGTATATACTGAAATTTAACAGATCAAACATAGTAACGTAGTAATTGGCTAAATAAAGCAAGCTCTCCGTAGGGTGGCGAGGTGTGACTTCGGTGAATTGTGGATTCCCGTCGCGCAGATATACATCCTGTCGGTGATTTAGGTCAACAGTATCCCTAGAGATCCCTTGAAGCTGCTTCCGAGCTCGGGGTCACCAGGCTGGACATCTCCACACTACTTATATACAGGTCTCCAGAATTCGGGCACCCAACTCAGGAAGCGCTAGGTCCGCTAGCATCTCCTCCTGCAGGTTCTGTTAATGCATTTCGTCCAGGACTTCTCACGCGTCCGTGCTCGCGAGGAGCTGGACGCCGTGCAAAGGGCACTTGGGCAAACCCCCGAGGTGGGAGGGCGAGCTGGACGCTTCGTCACGGTGGGACCACCAAAGAGGTCCAAATCCACAGATGAATCATGTTGGGAATGGGCAATGGAGCACACTCCTGGATTCTGATCATGATTTTGGTGAACGCATGGGTGTGTGTATGTCTGTGTGTGTGCGTTGTGTGTATGTGTGCCGGACATCGATATGTCATTGTCCGAACATCAGCTGACATGGCCACCCCGCATGTCGTTGCTGAAGCGAAGGAACTTTTTCACAGGGGGACTGGCCTTTTTTTCGCAAACCTGCATAGCAATGCATGATGAAATATGGTTGAACGTCCTGCTTGCGAAACGGGTGAGCAAAGGTTGATGGATGTTTTCCCGGTGGTCGTTTATTGTTGTTCTACCCTTCCTTCCGGCCTTCCAGGACATGGTTGCCTGAAGAATACTCTCCTTGGGTATCTTGACATTGTCCCATTTTTCACCGACCTGGTTCCTTGCCAACAGTTTTGGTTGAAGCTTTGCTCAGTGAACTCATCAACTCATGATGGCGAAAAGCTATGCAGGCAGCATAGCTGTGGCATCGCGCAGGTGCGACCGAGGTCACAGTTCTCGGGTGGCAGTTCTAGCTCAGTAAAATAGCGGACGGACTTTCAAACCAAAGTATTTGGCCAGCCTTACATCCATTCTGCTCTGCCTTAGACGCATTCCATGCCGCGTCAGACACTTTGCTCCAGACCTCGTCGATTGAGTCGAGGATATCTCCTGGATGTTGTATTGTAGACACAGACCAATCATTTCACACCCTGTTCAAACGTTTTCCATTGGTCTTCATGTTGTTTGCCAAGAGCAGCAAACATGTTCATCAAGAGTCTATATATATATATATGACCTACATGAGATCATCATCAAACTACCTTCTTTTGATGTCGTCTTGGAACTGAACCTGAACCTGGTCCTCTCTTTCCCGGTCGGTTTGTTCGAGGCCTGAGAGGCCTTCATTCGTTCATCGCTGTGACTGTCGGCTCGGGCCTCCGGTGCGGAGCGACCGACCGGACCGGGCGAGATCGGGTGGTGAGGACGAAGGACGGTCAACGGTTGAATTTGTACCAAACAGGACGCCGTGGTGAACTGAGAACAGTTTCAAGGAAGACTTGTAAATAGAGATAGCTTGAAAACTGTTGCCTCACTTCGTTGCATCTCGGTCTAGCCTCCGACCCCGCATGGAATGACCGGTCGGCTCTCACATCTCCAGGCAGCTCGAGCCAGTGGCGCATCCCTGCGGGCACTGAGTTCGTGGATTGCCGGACGCGCGTTGGGCCGGAAAAGTGTGTGCGGCGGCTGAGCGGCTTTGGAATCCTTCTGAGAGCCATGTGTTTGTTGCCAGGTTTTGTCCTGAGAGCCAATGAAAGGAACATCCACGGTGGAGAAGAGACTAACTTAATCCAAATAGACAGAAACGTGATCGGCAGCGACTTGTACCGTTCAACATGGCCTCATCTCAACATGTCCGCCACCTGTTCAATATCGTTTGTTTGAAGACCCACTCAACATGGGCATTGAAACTTGAAGCACTGTTTATGCCGTTGGAAGGACCACTCCAAATGCCTGGTTTCTCAGGAGAGATTTCGGAAGAGTCCTCCTGCCATGCGGGACTTTATCACCTTTTGCTTGCCATGTGCGTCGGATCATTGCCAAAGCGCCTCCAAATGCTGAAAAGCTCAAGTTCAACTGGTAACTTACAATTTCCACACGTTTGGATTCCACCCACTCAAGTCACTCAAAAGTTACTCAAGTCCCAAGTGCCAGACATGCGATTTTACCAGATGATTCGCTCTTGTGGACAGATAGATCATTGCGTTTGAAACCCTCGTTAAACCCCCCTTGCTTTCTTCGATTGCTTTATTAGGGCCATCGAGTGCATCGTTTTGACTCTTTTCTTGCACATCAATCAATGCCTTAGTGACACATAGTGATCCTTGTGTTTGCTCCAAACCTTTTGGACCTTACGCAGGACGCCATCAAGAATTCCTAGTCCACCTTGGACCCAGAACATTGCACATTTGGAATGGAAAGCATGGCGTTCAATGGCCTGAGAATTCATGTTTTGTATTGGAGTTTTGAATCTTGAAGGTAGGCAGCCCAATATGTGTTTTGATTTATTTTTTCTGTGCGCTTTTTGAAGCTCTGTGTGCTTTAGATGCAGCGCCCGGTTCTCAGGGTTTTTCGATGCGGCCCGCGTCCACTTCGTGGAGTCATGGTGACTCTCTCAATGGGGGCGCATATGGGCACAAGTCAAGACAGAGGTGGAATGTACAACGCTGGCCCTCCATGCTTGTGCAGCCTCCGGCGCGAGATAATTGGCTGGTGGAAAGCATTTTCCCCGCAGAAAATGGCGAACTCATCTCAACATCTCTACTACCATCTCGAGGCAATTTCAGCACTTCTCGAGGGGATGCTTTGCATCAACTCTTCGCAGCTTGTCTTGCAGCTTGTCCTTGTGAGCCTTAAAAAAGGGCGTCGCAATTTCAGTCGAATGTGTGTTCGCGACAGCATGCAACACATGATTCCGGTGAAAGATGATGCAAAGCATGTTAGATGCCAGGAAAGAAAAGACGCGGACGACCTGACAGAGCTTGGTCAGATCTCAAGATGCAGCTTCCTAACATCTTTGCCGCGTCTTGTTCTCGATGCTTTGGAGGCTATCGCAGTACCCTCCTGGAGTCCTCAAAGGCCTCCAAAACGCAGAAGCTTGCAGCAGGATGACAGACCAATCAGGACCAGCCCCATGCATACATGTTTGAACTTAAAAACGTATTAAATCACTACCATCCTGGTGCTGTCGAAGATGAACAAGCATATTTGGACTGTTCCGGTCCGTGGGCCTGTCGAAGAAGCTTCGCAACGTTGAAGCGAAGGCATTCGAGCTCTTGTGCACGACTGATCACTTGTGCGTCACCTTTAATTTGAACGTGATGAAGAGCAGACAACAGCTGCATTTGCTGAGCTTTGGACACGTCAGGGGCAAGAAGTCAAGCTTCGGATCGCCCCAACCTGTTACAACGTTGAACTGGGTCTCATTTCATGTCTTGTGCATTTCCATGGTCTTCACCACTCGCTTCCGGGCCAAAACCCTGATCCACACGGCATGGTGGTCGAGCTCCGTTGGGATCAGCGTTTTCGTGGATCGCAGGCTTCTCAGCTCCCGTCTCGGCTGGATAAGTGGTCCTCCACTTTGGACGCGTTGGAGTTGCAGAAACAGCTGAAGCTTTGGAAACTTGAGCTGAGCGGAGAAGAAATCGCATGTCACACGCAAGTCTTGCAAGACTTGGAAAAGAAGAATCAGACTCAGACTTTGATCCTGTCCTGGGCTGCAAGAGCGACCCTATGGGGAGATGGTTCGATCCTATTGGCAGCAGCCTACAGGTCCTACTTCGGCAGTGACCTTGAACATCTTTTGCTGATATAGAGGTCCGCTTAGCGGCCCTACGATGTCTTCAAGCTTTGCAACATGCTTATATATTAGAAGGAACACCTCAAGAATTGGCCTTCACTGGGTGTTTCTGGAAAACGCAGCCCTTGGATGAACCTCTTTGAATGACCCACAGTTCTTGGCCTTTAGTTCCTGCATGTTCCTTCTCCTTTTTTTGATGCTGGTTCCTGGTCTTTCTGGCTGACAGCCAGATATGGTGAGTCGAAACAGATGTCGATATCAAAAGATCGGATGAGGTTCTAGATCGACTTGGATCTGTGCGATTTCTTCTCTACTTCAGTTCGCAGGAATCGCAAAGATGGTCGTGGATCCCCTGCATCTCCAAGCCTGGCTTCATGGGCGGTGCAGCAACCGTTGCCACCATCGGGAAGAAGCCTGTTGCCAATGGTTGAGCAATAGCCTTGGGCCGAGCGGCAAATCTGAGAGACACTCAAGCTGTGCTGTTTCAGTGTCTCGATCGCCTCCATCGCCTACGGTGTGAAATTGGTTGGTTCGGTTCTCCGTGGAGGGGCAAGTCTTTACGTGAACTTACCTGAACTCACTGGTGGATGTACCCATATGTACCCTATGTTGCTTTGCCATACTAGGAAATCCAACAAGTTTGGATTGTACCTATTTGAACACTTGGGAAGATATCCAACAATTTCGGACTCTACTGCTCCTTGGAAATCTCCCAGTCTTGTTGTTTCACTCCACCCACTGCACCTTGTTGCTTCGGGTGAAAACAGGTCAGGTCGACCTATGTACAGGTACTTGTCCATGGCAACAACGATCCACCATTGCTTAGCTTGCAGCTTCTTGAAGGGTCGGCTAAGTTGCCAGCTCCGATGTTTTTACCATCCAAGACCATCCATGTATGGCATATATGCCTACATTGACCCCGGTAAATAGGTCGTACATGGATTGTTTAAACCATGGAATGTCCGAGAGGCTTATACCCTTCAGCTCCAGAAGCTTCAAGCAGCCCTGGACGACGTGGAGCAACGGAATCAGCAGCTGTCGGGGGGTGCCAGAAGACAGAGACGGAGTGCACGACAGGACGACGAGTCATATTTTACATGTTTTTTGGGTAAGACACGGTCGATTAGGGTGGTTGAGGGCATACCTTAGTTTGTTGTTGAGCTTGTATGGTTGATGCGATTGGTTCACTTGGTTGACAGGTTTGTTGCTTGGTTGCTCGAAGGTTGATTTGCAGCTGCTGCACAATACTTTACGCTGACGAAGTCAGAATATCATTCTCCAAAACGAATCGACTCGCAGGAAGTCTTTCCAAGTCCTCTCGTAATCTCCGAGAATTCCGTCATCATGATGATAGTTAGAACACCAAATACCAACGGGTAAGAACTCCTTCAGATTCTCCCGGGCTTCCAAATTCTGCCTCGTTCGAAACGATCTGCGCAGCTCCAGGTCTGCGCAGCTGCGAAGCCAAGACGAGGCGTGCGGCGGCGAGTGATTATGAATCGCGTGACTATGAATTCGGCGCAGACAAAACTTCCCAATCTTGTACATAACTACTTGTGATATGTTTATTGATTATTGTTTGTTTAAGTGTCTTCTGGCTTCTGGATGTTACTGGTGACCTTTTGGACATTTTGGGATGGACGGCTGTCATCCAACTCAAGGACTTGTTGAAACCAGAGGATTTCACTGCCAGCTGGTGGCAATCTTGTAAAAACCCCGCGTGGCCGCTGTGAAAAACCCGACGCCCAGCTGCCAGTCAGTCCGATGTTCGTGTGTCATCATGTCACACAGCTGGTTAAACTCAAACACATCCATCATCCATCCCCTGGGCTAGATGTAAAGTGATTACAATATAGAATCAAAAATACAAGAATGTCACAATAATAAACAGGTTTACTCAGTTTACTCCCAAGGACAAATTTTGACGTTGAAAGCAGGTTCGACTGGGGACTTCATGGAACTTCAAGACATCTAAGTACAATATGTATGTTTGTATACTCCAGGACGGATTCATGGATATGTGATTTTTGTCGGCCTAGGTGTTCGATTGCTTTGTCTTCCAGTCAAGTATTTTGGTAAATCTCAGGAAACAGATCGCAAACTGATGCACAGCAGATAGCATTCATGCGCTAAAGGCAAGACAGAACTCACTCTGGCTCCTTGGAATTGAACAACCTCAGAACCCACCTGGCGGTCGAGACCCATGGCGGTCGAGAAATCACGATCTGCCGAGGCGCAGCAGGCGCAGCAGGCGCAGCAGGCGCAGCAGACGCAGCAGGCGCAGCAGGCGCAGGCGAAGCAACAGCAGAAGCAGCTGAAGAAGAGCGAAGAAGAATGTCCGGTGCACAGGAAGGCTCATGCTTCTCACCTTCGCTTTCTTTTTCTCACCAGCAGTTGCTATCTAAGAAGTTTGGCAGATGTGATTGCTTGTGTGTGGTGGGATGTAACAACTTGCATGTTTGATAGGAATTATCTGCGCAAATATCAGGATTTCAATGATTTAAGGCACACTTTTGTTCCTGGAGTAGTGTTTGATGGAAGGAGCGGCAGCTTCGTATGGAGGTTGCCACTTGTTGGAGTAGCGTCCGATGTTCGCTGTTTTCGCTCTCCCTGTGGTATGGGGTCATAAGCCATGCAGTTTCAACTGGCCGGTGTAGCAGTTCCAAGGAGTTCCACTCCATCCAGTTGAAGTCATGCCCAGCTGAACAGAACGGACAAGGTGGAGAATACCATTTCACTGGAGTCATCCCGTGATGCTGTAGGTCAACATCTCCAATCACTATGCCACTTTGCCGCGGGTGTGTTTGCTTTTGTGTCAAGATCAACGAGAACGATAACGATAACGAATGATTGCACCATGTGATTGCACCGAAAGCTGCCGATTTGATCTGAGGCCAAAAGCTGTCAGCGAAACTGGAGAAACAGCTGCTCGGTGCAGAGAAGATGAACACAGACAACCACCCACTCATAGGTTGGTGGACGGCGAGACAGACAACCAACCACGGCGAGACCGATCATATTTGTATGTGCTTTGGTTTTGTTTAAAGGATGTGCCCAGTATGAAATGTACAGCACATTACATATACACTAAGTCTTCTAAGTAGCCTTGTTTATACGTATGCGAAGACTCGTAGACAGTGTATAGACATACACCAGTTTGGCTCACGTGTTCGCCACTTCAGCTGTTTGCCGCATCATTGGATCTTTGTTTCAGAGCCGAGGACGGCGAAGGTTGAGGAGATGAAACAACACATGGAGCAGGTGGGCCCCGCGTGTTCGGAGTACCGATGCTGGGTTGGAGGCAGAAGGATCAAGAAAGGATGCTGATGTGCGAATTCTTACAGTGAAAGGCTGCTTTTGCGAGTGATTGCAAGTGCTTAGTGTCAGATAGTGTGTACAACATGTTACTTATGTTACTTCATGTTCCTTCCCAGTTCAAGCACACTCTGTGAACGGACACCAATGGTTGGCATGTGATTCATGACCACTGCAGGTCATCAAAGATGCCAAAGAGCGCGACGAGGCTCGGCTAGCCTAGATTATGACTGTTGTTGGGTATGAAGTTTTAGCTTTGGGTGGTGTCGGGCAGAACAAGTTCATTGCTACCACATTGGGGAGTGGATACTCTTTCATAAGGGAAGAACACGCAACATCAACTCAAAGAGTCCAACTTGGCTTTTGGTTCCCCCATCTTAGGACATATAAAGAGGAAGAACCAGTAGTCAGTGACCCAGCCCATTGTTGGAGTAGGAGCAAGGACGCTACTAGGGGCTCCTGGCATCACTACTAGTAGCATTCCTACTACTAGTAACAAGAAGCTACTAAGGCTCCTGGCCTTACTATATGCTAGGAACAAGGACGCTACTAGGAACTTGATGCCGGAGGCACGGATGCGGGAGATCAAGCAGCTACGGGAGAGAAGCAAGATGGAGCTGTACCTGGGCTTCCCGCCGGTCCTGGGCCGGACGGGTCATTTTTTGTGTGTGTTTTTGCTGGTCATTTACTTCTGTGCAAATGGCCCTGCAAGGCTAGATGTATGATGATGTATGTATACCTGTATATAAATCATAATGCTGCTTGGAATCGTTTGGATATTGTTCTTGGTTTGACACAAAACCTATGGATTTCTTCCATAGTTACGAGCTGGTTTCGGGTCGACTGGCTGCCCTTCCTCTACTCAGGCAAGAGCTTACAGAGAAGTCCAACAGCAGCTCCAAGGACAGCCTGACGCTCTTCAGGGTACTTTGAAATGGTCACCGGACGAATGAAAGGAATTAACTGAAATTAACGAGCCATTTGCCAGGCCTAGAGGCAGCTAGTCACCTTTGAGATCCACCCAAACATGTTGCTTCTGTCATGTTCATATTTTAATGTAAATTTCATGACTTCAATCGGCACTGAGTTAAGCATTGAGTGACTAGTGTGACTGACTCAAGCACTCCACATCGAACAAAAATGACTTGGATAAGAGGGAGATCAACGCAGGGTCGCTTGCATCAGCAAATGTGTTGTTTGTTTGTTGTGTGTGTGCTGCTTTTTGCTGTTCAATGTGTTTACACGTGTGTTTGTTTGTTTTATTTTTTCAATTGGCAGTCATAGCTGTGCTGATCACTGTCCTATTTGCATGTGTTCTTTTCTTTAGACTGGTTGAGACTTTGTTGAGCTGCCATTTTTTTTTACTTATTTCACTTATTTCATTTTATGTTCCTAGATGTTTTTTTTGAGATTTGTTGAGATGTTTCGAGATGTTGTGTTTGTTTCTTTTGCACGCTGTTATGTTGTTTTTACATTTTGTTGCCTGTGTTTTGCATGCAAGGTCTCTTAACTCTCGTGTTTTGTCATTTGCTGAACGTCCTCCATTCCAATACCTCTCCGATTTAAATGAATGAATGACATGTTCTACTGAACCTCCTGCAAAACTCATGCTCTATCACTTTTTGAGGGGTCGCAACACATCCCACAGCACATGGCGGGCATCATTTTGGGGTTTGCGCCGGTGTGCTGCTTTGTTCGTATGTGAGCTGTGTGTAGCCGATGCTAGAGCAAGCATGTTCGGAGGCTTCATGGTACTCGACAACAGCAATGAGCTCTGGAAAATGTGCTAAAGGCCGCAGTTTTGCGAGGATGGAACAAGAAGAACAGCAGCAACAACAACAAGAACAACAAGGATGATGATTATTATTATACAGTACATATTCCTACTATGATGTTGATGATGATGATGATGATGATGATGATGATGATGCATGATGATTGTGTAGTTCATCAATGATTATGATATATTATGCTTATATAGCATATATCGCTAATATGTGTTATATAATTTGTTTGTTGAACATGCGATCATGCTCATTATCATGTTGATTCTGACTCGTCGTCGGGTCGGCGTGAGTTCATGTTCGATCCTGCACCCGAGCGACTGCCACGGTTGATCTGTCAGGTAGTCTATTCTTGATGAGAGATGGCGGTCATGGCTGGAGCCCCTTAGACTACCGGGGTGACCTCCCCAGTAGAACGGGGTGTCCCGGTGCCATGAAACCACAGCCAGGGTGTCGAGTCAGTACCCACGCATTTCGCCCAGGACGCTGAAGCGTTGCGCCAGCGTTTGCTGGGAGAGGTGAGACGACAGGGTAAGCAAGCCCACAGTATTGGAGGGTAGAACTTTCCTTATTTGTAGCGGTTGCTTTGGGACCAAAAGGTAGTTTCCTGGAGTCTGGGTGGCTGGCAGGTTTTGGGTGGGCTCCTGTAGGTGAAATTCTGCATACATACGTTTCATGGACTGCTAGGGACTCTCGCAAGTGCTACACCATGAAAGTTGGAGTGGCCGAGTGGCCCAGAAGTACTGCATTGTTCCACAGAGCGGGCCGCGCCACATGATCGACTTGATATATCTGTCACATACACGGCACCGGCTCTGTCAGTGTCTCAGTGTTTGATATTGGACGGGGAGAAGAGTGTCCCCAACCCTTCTCTTTTTGCTGGAGCTGCTGCCGGGTTTGAATGGACAGGATGAACCAGTTGAATGCAATGGATCTTCTGGAACACCAGTTTTTGGACAATCACAGTAGTAATATGATAGCAAATTGTAGCAATCTAATCTCACATTTAAATTGTCCTAAGGATGTGATGTTCATATAGCTGACAGGAAAGAACATTGACCAGAAAACGCCAAGAGAACCTTGAAACCCCATTCCCCCCCATTCCACTCCGGAATGCCATGCTTCTGCCCACTTGCCTCGGTTTTTCAGGCCAGCAACGAGTTGCAGGATCTTCGAAGCGAGTTCAGTCAGCAGAAGGAGGTCAGGATTCGGTTCGGTTCGCACCCGGCTCAAGGAATTCGAAGGAAGTCGAAGGAATTCAACGACCGAAGCATTCCCTCCTTGGCGACTGAGAACCAGGGAGCTTGTTATTTGGTGGTGTTTTTCGAAGGGAGCTGAATCAATTTGCAAACTGCTTTGGGATGTTCGACGTTAATGTGTGGACGTTGACAGCATGCAGCACAACTACACTGACGATCCTCCAACATCACTTCGAGTCCCCCAACGTACAAAGGTCACGAAACGGACCGAAACGGACAGAACTTGGCCACGAGTCGCATTGGCCACGAAAGCGACTGTGTTTCATCCGTGCCGTCCCCATGCAGTCCACCGGTGGCAGGTCTTAAGCGAGATGCTCCGTGAGGCGAGCGCTGAGACCTCCCAGCTGAGGCCGGCGGAAGGGTGGGAACGGGCTGGGGCAGTGCTGACTGACCTGGTGATGTGGTGCACGCTTCGCAGGCAAAACAACCAAGTGAACGCTTAAGAAAGGTGTCAAGACTGCCAAGACAACAGAGCTCCCATGTTTTTTAGAAAACCAGGTGTGTTGCAATGTTGCAGTCAGAAGGCGGGAGGGCATCACCATGTGCCTGGTTTCATTGGACCCCCTAATATGATCTTTCTCCAGCAGCCTTTTTGCGGCATTTGGTCGGAGACTTAGATCTAGCACTCCAGCTAACATGCGGCGCGTGGCGCCCTGAAAAGGACCATCACCGTGAAATCCACCGTTTCAGGAGGTGAACTCCACTGAAAACGTCAGTTCAGGAGATCAACCACACCCTAAACCCACTCCTGACCGTCGGACCAGGCAGAGCCTGGAGATCTCTGAGAGCGAAGCGGCGAGCTCGCTGGAGGCCACCAGAGAATCCTTGGCGGAGGCGCAGCAATCACAAGGCCGGAGCAATGGGAGACGTGAACTGATGAGGATGATAATCTATATCATCAGAGGTTTGTTTGGGCTTATATAGATGTTGAATTTGTTTGATCACTTCTTACATCGGAATTGTGTCAATGACCTCTTGTCATTTCTGCCACAGGCCGCCTGCGCAGTGAGTTGCGCTCGCAGCAAGAGCGCAGCAAGCGAGCTGAGCGAGCCGCCTGGCAGGAGGGATGCTGGATCAAGATGCAGGCAGCATGTCCGAGACCCATTTGCATATCTCAAAACTGGGAGACCACCCAGCATCTCAGCATTTGTTTGGAGTTGTTTGGGTAATTATACATTGGCTATAAACCAAAAAACATGCACACATCTTGGGTAGGACACACCTCTGTAGTGCAATCATGTGAGGATTCAGCACAAAGTTGAGATTCGATAGTTGTGGCCCAACAACGAAACAATTTTTTCGGCACGGCCTTGTCATCTACTTGTACCGGATGCCGGATGCCCTTCTACTTCTACAGCCTTAATCATTGCAGCACAAAGGAGGCCAGTTGGGGGCCAGTCCTGGTATTTACATCCAAGAGAACGGGGAAAGACCGGGGAAAGAGGGGGAAAGAACCTATGTCCGAATCACCTTGCCGGTTCTGGCTCGCCGAGCAGATCTACCATGAGCAAATCTGAGGAACTGGAGCAGACGCATGCAGAGTGTCAGGACGCGATTCTAGTCCAGTTGAGACACTCAAGGTCATTTTGAGGCCGGTTTTTTGGGGGGATTCTATACCGGGTGTCCTCTACTATACAACATCCAGATGGTCGCATGGTCCTGGTAGTTTGGTTTGAGACGTTTCACATCGTTTCACCCATGTTTTCACTCCTTGATGCCCTGGGCCGGTCTGCCGATGCATTGCTCGGGTGCACCCTCTTTGCATCGCTTGGTACCTGTTTGGGAGTATCCTCTCATTCGGATTGGGAGTCGTGTCAGTTGCTGATTTTGATGGTTTCCGACCTTCGTCCGATGGAAAGTGGTCTCCACCCACGTCTGTGACATGGACGAAATGCAGACTAGTTCATATTGAAGGTAAATAGAGCAAATCCTACGAGCCACGGATGAAGACATCACCTGGTGCCGTCATCACCTTTCTACACCGACGAAGCCGGTGTTTATTCAGGCGTTGTCTAGGGTGGAGTTCGTGAGATTCAGTTCGGGGTAGCACAATGCTCTGAGTCAAACCACTTGGTTTCAAGTCTTGATGTTCATTGTTAAAGACCGTTACAGATGGTACTGATACAGGATAGTAATAGTATAAATATGTTTAAATGTTTGATTGGTTGCATGACCGCGTAATTATGTATGGTACGGTCTTTGTTTGATGGTACATTTTTTGTATTATTGTGCTGGTTTGAATATTGGACACCACCACACGGACCATATATATATATAAATATACATATCTGCACACACCTCGTTTTCCAGTTGTGGTCGATGGTGATCACATGTGATTCCCGAGAAAGCAAACATGTGGGCATACACTATGCCACCCTATAGTACCACAGCACCGTCCGCTTATTAAACTGGTGGGCTGACAAGTCTCACATCAGGAGCTTCTCAGCAGCGCATCAGTTCGGGACAGCCGAGTGGAGGCTGTTTGGGGCGAAGGGTCAGGTTAATCAAGAACGGTTTTTGGATGGACATGTTCTTGAGGAGTTGGGGGTGAAGATGAAGGATGATGGATAGCTCGAGTTTGCCAAAGAGCATGTGGCTTGGTCTGTTTTCTGTTCACGCATGTTCGATGAAATGACTGTGGTCTTCTCAACGCTCGCATTGTTTCCACGTCTCTGTGATTCAGCAAGACCCGGCCGTGTGATTCAGCTCCGCTCCGGTGGTTTTTCCCACACGCGTCGATGTTCTCAACACCACCGCGGTCGGTGTGCCTTGAGAAACCGGGCCTCCAAAACGTCCGACGAAGCGAATCCGCAAGACTGAGGAGCGGCTGATCGGCTGACCTGAAGAGAAATAGGAGTCCGGATGAGTCTGGATCGGAGTCCGAGTCCGACGCCATTCAGAAGTCGCATGGTCTTGCCATCCCAAAGAAGTCGGTTTTGTGTGATCTTCAAAAGGACCCGGAAAACCGTTAGGGTACCGGTTCCTGGGATCGTCTGTTGGTAACCACCTGTTGGTCCACCTGACTTTGTCCGGGAGAGTGGAAGTCGGCCGCCATGGCCGCACTCGGGGAATGGTGACACCGAAACACATGAAGACTGGTGCGACACACACACACACACTATCCGCTCAAAGAAACGGCTGAAAGAAAGTAACCAGATGCTGGTGGAAAGTGGCTAACGTCTTTGTAGTGATGGCTGCTGTAGGTGTAGCATGGTGTAGCTAGTTAGTCCAAGACAGAGACTCAGTGTCTGTTTGAAGGGCGAGAAGCAACCACGGAATCTCTGGAGAAGTACTTCTGACACTGTTTGCTCCTATTGGATCCGCTAGGTGGGCCACCCCTCGCCAGGTGGCGCAGGCACTTCTCGAGAGCAGAGTGCAGAACCTGCAGGAGACCGGCCGGGGAAGACAAGAAAGACATGGGTGTGTTTATGATACATTGATTGCTTATGATGCTTTGGATTGTTTTTGTTGGTAAATGAAACATGTATTACACTCCATTATACTATAATATCTATAATGCTACTAATATATTATATCGTATCAGACTAGTTTAGATGACAAGAATCACGTGCACGCGAGTGAGTCACGCTCTGGACAACCCTTAGCTGGAAGGTTTGCTGACATTTGCTGACTCTATGACTATGACTTGATTCTGGGTTGGTTGCCGGATTCGCGGTGAAAGGAAGTCCAAGCAAGGGCCAAGCCCTGCATTCTGCCCTTTGGCTCCCAAGTCACTGACCAGGCTGACCAACCGGGGAAGATGTGGCGTCACCGGACTGAGTCGACGACCACGAACATGAGCAACGAGGCAAATAGACATGCCCCTCAAAGGTCTCTCCTGCGCAGTGACTATCCTGCGCACCCACCACACACGATGAAACAGACCCACGAAGACACGAAGCAGAGGAGCAGCTGGAAGGCCTTCGTGCAGAGGCAGAGGTTGGGACATTTCAGCGGATGGCGATCTCCAATCGAGCCATGGCGATGGTCCCAACATGTCCCAACCGTTGGTCCCAACCACTCCGTCGGATGGTCCCAACCGTTGGTTCTGGCGGCCATGTTTTTTTTTTTCGTCCGACGGCGAGACGAAGACCATCGGCTGGGTATCGGACGGGCGGCTGGGAAGTGGTGAAACGAAGAAATGACCGAAGTCGGCGAAGCAAGGATTGGGCGAATTGGGCGATGGTTCAAAGCCAACATCAATCGGGTATGTACTCGCAAGATTACATGTTTTTCGCTTTGGAACCAGTTGTTAATGCCAATGGTGCTGTGGGAGACTGTTGTTTTGGGAGAGGTGGGTTTGGAACGAAGCAAAAAAGCATGTGAGCAAGGGACGGGTGCGCCAGGGAAATTCCAAGTTAAGGCAAGTGTCATATCAGTCTCATATCAACTTGCCAGGCACGCTACCTGTGACTCAAATTGCCCTCGGCAGTTTGGCAATTGAAACGCCCATTAAGACCAAGACGGTTGCTTGGGCACTGGGAACCCCTTCTCCATCCCGTTACAACCACGGCGAAGCTCCGTCCGTCTTCGAAGCGGACCCTTCACCCGAAGTGGTCAGCGTCTACGTCGACGTTTGACCGGATGAGGTAACCGTAACCATTCTGATGTTGCTGTATTGCTGTATTGCTTTGGTAGTGTGTGTGTTGTTTTGCAGCTGTTTTATTTCAATGTTCTGATGATCGTTCTCAATGCACACGTTTGCCATGATGAGCCTCATCATCAAGTAGATCGAAGAACAAGAATGCCCTCATCCCCAAGAAAATGCTGGGACACTACTGAGTCAATCTGAGTCACATTCATTTATAACATATGTTTTGATTTTTTCATGATGTTCCATTGATCTCCATGGAATTCATCGTCTCATTCGGGATTCACCGAGCTCTTTCCGGTGAGGCTGCCCGGGCTGCCGAGGAGGAACAGCGCAACCAAGCGCAAGCGGCCGAGGCAGGGCAGCGCCGCTCCGCGGAGTCCTCCAGGTCAACTGGGTCAAGTGGGGCCGGAAAGAAACAAGTACACCACTTACAATCAAAGGCCCACCCACTTCTGACTACTACTACTACCACCACCACTACTACCACTACTACCACTACTACCACTACTACCACTACCACACTTGCCATCACAAGCAACGGCAGTCGGGTCAATGTTCGAACGGGTCAACCGGGTCAACCGGGACCAGACATTTCCCGGCCCCCTACGCCGACGCACTCAACATATAATTACAGTGGTCCCCAAATAGAATTGAAAGTAAATCCTCACCAAAGATGTACTGGAAACCGCGCCACTATCTATTGGGGGGACCCCTAGTGGGATGGGGATGGAACCACAAGAGGCACACTGCCAGATTCTGGTCTTAAAGTGACACCAGTTTTGACGTCACCGCTAGCCGCGATCATCAGCAAGACCTAAAGACCTATGGTGACGCATGGGCTTCTTGGAAGAAGTGCCTGGTTTGGACTCTTGTGCCTTGGTGTTCGGCAAAACATCCACACAGCACTGCACGCATCCAGCTTCTCCACCAAGTGTACTTGCACTATTACTACTACTGTACTATGCCTTGTGATTGCAAAGTAGGTCCGTAGGTAGGAAGGTCACATGCAGTTTGGGGAAGGGTCGGTTACACAGCATTGCTAGGATAAGCAGAGTTTGCTTGCAAGGGCTTTGGTACCGGAGTGTGTGGCAAGGCACGATACCAAGAATGTGAAGAACAGCTGAAGGCCAAGAGCCAGGACTTCAGACCAGTCAGGATGTGTCTCGAAGGCGTCCTGGTTTGGGTGGGGCAATTGTTGAGGCCGCCCCGGGCCCGGAACAGCCTCAAGTGCTGTACATCCCAAAGTGCTGCACAACTGGATGAGTAGGCGACACGGTGCTGCGGAAAATTGCTGAAGCAAGCACACAAAACGTTGCTCACGCAGAAACATGGTGTATCGACTGAACTCTAGGAATGGGAATGTGCTGGGAGTTTGCAGCAGCGCCAGAGTTGCAGGCATAAGAAATACGAAGGAGAACAAGGCTTCCGCCATGGTGAAAACACGTAGCGCCTACGAGCATGCTCTGGCGCAAGAGGGTACCGAGGTCCCGCAAGCTGGGACGACCCTGTGGCCTTGGGGAGCGCCCCCGAAAGACATTTCATTTTTGCTATCCAGAGTTTTGACCTGCCCGAATTAGACTAATCACCACTGTAGTACTGTAGGCTATGGCGAGTCTCTTTTTCAAGACGTGGCTGGTTTCCACTGCGCAGCTAGGAGCTGTGTGAGCAGAAGCAAGACTTCGAGCTCCAGCTGCACAACCTGCAGGTGTCAAAGGGATACAGAGAAACCCCGTGGCCGGCCACAGGGAGAAGTGTCCACTCAGTCCACTCATAGTGATCAACCAGACCAATCAATCGGACAAGATCTTGACGAGTTCTTTCTCAGCACGTTCGAAAAGTGTGAGGAATCTGGCTGATCGACTGTTCCATGAGAACTCCAGAATGTTCTAGAATGTTTCATGATGTTCTCAGCAATCTGGTTCAAACCATGATGTTTCGTGATGTGTTTTTTGTCCATGATGTTTCACATTGTTTCATGATCCTCCAAAAATATCGTGTTGTTGCCTTTTTCACACACACGAACCAGGAAGACTTGAAGAGCGCGCAAAAGTCGGGCTCCTTGGAGGTGCTTTTCTCGACCGCACCGTCCAACTCGAAAGAAAGGGGGTTGTTTCGGTTTTCGACCGCACGCGGTAGACGCGCTGGACTGCCAGCACAACTTACAAACCAACGGTATCCTTTTGCGAAGCCAAGCAGTGCTTTGCAAAGGGACGTGAAATCGGTTGATACTCCATGGTGTACACCCCAGGGGTTTGAGGGGGGTTCGCCATGGATTTGGAAGGTTCATTCCGCTTGTGGCGAACATCAGGTCGACAGGGGCAGTGCAAACCCTCTGTGAGTCAGACCGCAAAACGTGCTCGTTTCAGGCTGAGCATCGCGAGAGCGTCTCGGCCGCTCAGCAGAAGATGAAAGAGGCCCAGCAGGAGGTGCGCGCTAAGGAAAGTGGTGCAGGTTTGGCGGCAGGTTGACGTGCGGATAGCCTGCCATAAACGAGTTTTCGGAGGTTGATTGGTCCAGGATGAGAAGTGTAGAATATGAGTATAGACATTCCGAAGGCGTGACGCTTGCTTGTTTCGAGATGCTTGGCACCTCCTCACTGGGCGGATGTCGGAGGTTTGGCACCAGGGGCATGCTATCCGACAAAGTCATCTATACCAGGGTCATGTTTGATGGATGAAGTGCCCAGTTTGTTCGACTTTGCAAGACGCAAGACGTTCGACGTTCCATGTTTTCACGGCTCGACTTCGCTCGACTTCCGTTGAAGAGAGGGAGACTCTTCAGGTCCGGAGACCCGAAGAGAGCTGTCATGCTTTGCCAAAGCCTCCAGGTGCAGGTGGCTTTGGCGGAGCGTCAAGCTGCGGAAGAGCAGGCGACTGTGGGTGGATAGCTTGGGAATTAGTTTGTTGGGGCATAGACTGCTGCTGTGTTGATGTTGGAAAAGGAACATGCGAGTCTGGTTTTGATGTGTGTTCCTCTATTTGTTCTTGTGGTTGGGACTTGTGAACATATACTTGAGACACCCGGGTATGTAAAAGTGTCGTCGTTTTGTGAACCTCATCTAGATTTTGTCGCTTGATGTAGCTTTAGTCGTTGTCTGAAAACCAAACTGACGCTTCATGGGTTTACCTGCAACTTTGAACCTTCAGTGTGCAACAAAAATGGCAGCACTATGTTTTGCCGTTTGCTCAAGAACTATGTTTTCTTCGGAACAACCAGAAAGAAAAAAACACATACAAAAGAATCGATGCATAGGTATGATGGATTCCACAGGGTCACGCAGGTCTACACTCTGAAGAGATCATGGCTGTACATGACTGTACACTGTACAGTATACTAGCCGTGTTTTTTCTATCGATCACTTGGCACTCCACAGGTTCTCATAAGTCGCTCTTGCATTGTTGGCCCGTGGGTGCGGAGTTGGCGAGCTCAATCGTTCGGCCACCAGTACGTTGACCGAGGTGAACCCATTTGGGCCAAAGAAAATGGAAGTCCCTGACAAGAAGTTGAGACATTAAAGACACCAAACAGCCAACTTACTTGGCTATGGTTGACCTCCTCACATCTCCTTCGTGGTGTGAATCAGTTCTTTCGGACCTGGCGAAGGGCCTGAAGGGCCTTTTATCCAGGCCCAAAAGGCCTTGCGACGCGCCGAAGCAGCTGAAGAAGAGCTGGCGAGGCCGGTCGGCGTGTCCAGACCTGCAAGCATGGAGACCACCGAAGGAGAGGTTTTGGCATCGGTTTTGCTGCATAGGCAACCAGGGAGGTTGAGGAGTTGGGACATGTTGGGACCCATTTTGTTGAGCCACAGGCAAATCAAGGCAAATGGCGGGGGTCAGTCTGTTCTATGGACAAGGTGGAGTTTGGGATCCGTTTCTGCGAAGAGTAGGAGGCCATGATGTTTTGAAGGATAAGGCTGGCACCTTGAGTAATACACACTTCTCCATCCTTCTCCCACCATTCTCCCATGAGAAAAATCTATTCTAGCAGTCGGACAAGAAGGTGTGAGTTCTGTCATGAAGCGTCTTGTTTCCTGTTTTGCAGCAGTCCTACGGCCACGATGTGACAGGTTTTTCAATGTTTTTCATATATATATATATGGCCTTTTCCTAGCAGTGCGGTCGAATTTGGAGACTCGGCGCGTGCGTCACGCTGTGCGTACCAACGGTCCGTTGGTCGGCGACACCGGTCATCCTTTAAAGAAGTCGGATGTGGGACAAGAAACACCACTGGGAGTCGTTCCAAAATGCTTCAACAATGAGACATTTGGTGCAGACGTTGATATTCACAACAATAACTTCCCTTCTTCACTTGGCGAGCCAGATCTTTCACAACAAACAATGTCACGAGAGTTGTTGCTGCTTCAAAAGTAACAGTTAATTTGAAAAAATATGGATCAGTCGATGGATCAGTCGATCAGTGACTGATCAGTCCTTTATTTTGTGACGTGTTTTTCTTGGCAAAGAAGAAGAACGAAGACTCCGTTGTGAGGCTGAAAGCCGATGCCCTCAATTTCCATGAGGTGTCTCAGCTGACGGCGGGCTTCGGCGATTTGAATTGGACAATCATCGAAAAACACGGGGGGTGTATTAATCAAGAGTCTACATTCCCTCTACAACTACTTTTAAGTTTGGAGTTTGACCAGTTGGTTGGGGGACTTCCCATAGATCCGGTTGGGATTGGTCACATGGATGTGAAGCCCCGGACTTGAAGCCTTTGGACTGCCCAGAGAGACACAATGACACATAGTTTCCAAGTCAATTTCGGAGCCCTTCTGCATTGGACATCACTGGACCCCAAGCTGAGCATGTTCGTTGGCTGAGCAAATGCTCTGCAGCAGCCTAGGCTGAGAAAGAGTTGAGAGAGAAGGCCCAAGAAGCGCAAAGCAGTTGTGACAGCATGGTGCCTTGAGTGGTGTGGAGAGGGTGGAGAGAGTGTGGTGGTTGACATACCGAAGAAACGATGTTCATGGGTTCAGTCGTCAGTGACAGCCGCTAGTTATATGAATGATTGTCCCCGGAGGTTAAGACGACCAGGTTTCGTATGGCTCTTTTCTCATAAAGTTTGGCTCGAGCATGCATTGCGGTTCAAAAGATAGAGAAACCAAGGGAGCCTTTATACATATACATAATTATACATACATATATATATATATATATCAAAATGATCGTTTCTGACTGACTAGTTCATGTGAACAAAAGAAAGGACCACATTCTTAGCAGGTATGTGACATTCATCTACTAGTAGATAAACCAGGATAAACCATGCTTACAATTCAGTGCATTTTCTGCAATACAAGTCCGTTCCTGAGTCGTAGGCTTTCATTTCTTTGGATGCTGGAACACTTTGGATGTCGGACGCACATCCCATGATCAACTGGCTCAGGGAGGCTGACGTCTGCTGGAAGCACGGCTCCTTTTCTAGGTCCAGAACATGTGTCATTGGCCATGGGAGTGGCACCCAGGCACCCTGGACCGGTCGAACCGATTCCTTTGTGTTCGGGGTCTCAACCTATCATGAGTTAGGTGAAGCAATGACTCCATCACTCACGGCCATGTATGGCCATGTGACTCTTTGACTGTTTTAAGGCCACAAGCAGTTGATCCGAGCCCTTCAGCAGTCCATGGCGGAGCAGAAACAGGAGGCGTAACGAGCTGTGCAGCGACGGTCGCAGCACTCCTCTGTGCACAGGAGAGCCGAGTAGACGATTGTGCACTGTGCAGCGTTTGGACTTTCGTTCAAGATTCTAACATCCATTCACTAGAAGTGCAAAGAGTTTCACATAGTTTCACCTTCCTTTGCCAAGCAAAGGAAGCTCCTTTTCAGGTCCGCACTATTCTTTGCAGGCTACCCCCGTTGCGTGGGTGGTCGACACAGGCAAACCACGGATTGATTGACAGGGATTTGTTTCCATAAACTTTTTGACCTGATCCTTGACCAGGGATGTCAACCTGCTAGTACAATTTTTTTATCCACAGCCATTTGAGGCCTCACAGCCACTTGTTCCATTTGTTTGTCCAGGTTGATCAAGAGCTGGAGTCACTACGCAAACAGTGTTGCCGCCCTGTTTGCTGCCTGGGTTTGGCCTCATTTGGGAGGTTTGCTCCAGAACCAGCACCCTTGAGAAGCAGGCTAAGCACAATTATATAATGTTTAATCGGCGATACTCAGGGCTACCGGACATGAACAATGCAACTTCCATGCAAGACACAATCCTAGCATTTGGCTCAGTTTCCAGCATTTTGACAGGGTGTATCTGGCTCGTGATGGTTGTGCGTGATTTATTGCGTACATAGACGCTGATGGATCCCTGCTAAGAAATGCCGACAGCTGCAGTGGGCAACACGCCAAGTTCCTCGTGGGAGAAGCCATCGCCAAGCATTTATCAACCTTCTCCTTTTGACCTGCTGCATTGAATGAAGTTGTTTGTTTTGAAACATTGTCAAAAGATCATTGACCATCTACAGTGATGCTATCCGCACCAGGCTTGCTGAGACTACGCCTGTGCGTACCTTGCTTGGCGTCCCAGAAGGGTTGTGTTTTGGGGCTTCAACTTGGGAGGACGGACACTATTTCCACATATTTCCGCATGAAGGTTTCACCAAACACAAAAATGGATTAGTAGCTACCTGGCCTGCATTTTTGGAACCTATGTTTTGGAGACACAGCAGGACTTGTTCAAAGAGTCTGACCTGCCTTCCAAGACTTGATTTATGGACAATGCACTAGCAGATCTAGCAGCCGCATCAGCTTAGGCCCACAAAGGACAAATTAATCAGAGGTCCCATGAAATGCCGTAGCTAGTGCTGTAGCTGCACTGGATCAATTCAATTGGGAGTTTGTAAAGTCGGAGTTGCAGCGTTATCAAGCTTTGCTCCAATCAAGAGCCTTGGAAGCAGCAATTTGCATGAACTCATATGCCCTCTACTTTGCTTTTCCGTGCTTTTCCTCTCTAAATCACACCTCACTATCCTCACTTTGTTCTGCGCAGACCGCGACGTTTGGCGTGCTGAACGGTCGAAAAGAAGGCGCTTCACCTCATTTTCTCCAAGCATCACAACCTTGTACCACATGCCCACGTCATCGTGCCCTGCCTTAAATGTTATCACATGTTATCACAACATATCACAACTAACTCATTTTGTATCATCAGTTTGGTCAGTTCATTTCCTCCGCTCCTCCGCTATGTTTCCATGTTGATTACTTTCCGACCCCACTACAGTTTGCATCAGCTAAGACATGAATGAGCGACCACTCAGCGACCACAACGTAACGATGTATGACATTGTCGCGACACGCTACCGTTTATTATCAGTGTATCGCCCGCCCCTGTCTCAATGTATCTCACTTGGACAAAGATCATGGCAAAACAAGAGGATGTCATAAGTTATTACAGTGAATGATGCTCAGTGCAGATTGCTTAGTGCTCCAGAGTTTTGTTTGGGGTGTCTCTCTTCCGCCCTACCTTGATGCAAATTCCATGTTGACTAGACACATGTTGTGTTCTTAGGTGTTTAATTCCCTGGCTTTCAATCTGACATTAACTACTACCAACAATTTGACACTACTGGCCGGTAATGAATGCCACCGAGGTCAGGCTCTTCCCGAACTCTCCTTCGTGAAGAGGCCAGGGAGCAAAAACGATACCTTCAAGCTAGGTCTTCAGGATGTTCATCAAGTGCATTTGTTTTGCCCGCGGAAGCGCCAGATTTTGCGGGGCAGAGAGACTTGCAGGTTTCAAGGTTTTTCGTTTCATAAAAACAGAGACAACAACATGTTCCATGAGGAGCTGATGAGGGCCGAAAACTTGTGGGGAGCTACTTTGATCCCACTTGGATGGCAATTTTAGAGTGTTTTGAACGGGGGTCTTTCCAGAGGGTTTCGGTGTTGGTGATACCAGCAGGCTTTTGGGAGACTTAGGCCGAAGTGTTGTAACGAAGATCCCACTATCACTGCGTTCGGTGCGTCTCTTTTGCCTTTTGCACATTCTCAGACGCTTCTGGGGCCTTGACCTTCTTGGCGAAAGTGAAAAGACCTCACCTGGGGCCTTCCTGGTTTGAAACGCTCCTTGGTGTTGGGATTCACGAGTTTTTCACACTAAGAGACACGTCCAGCAGCCAGGTCATCGCTTTGGCCGTTGAAACTTACGGACTCACTTTATGGAAATAGACTGTCTCGGCAGGCATCAGACACCCATCAAGTTACTTGTGAAGCCCCAAGCCAAGTAGTCGCAGCGAAAGCAAGACAACAGTGAAAGCGCAGACCGATCAAGTCTGTTCAGGCCGACCTCCCTGAAGACCAGGATCCCGAGATTAAAGAAGAGGATGAAGAGGTTGGACTCTGAGAGAAAGCTGCAAAAGCGGAGAGTACCCCACAAGTACACACACGGATCCATAGGAAGCAGAAGTGAGCCTGGAAAGCACCCTGGCAGATGCCTCAAGTTGCATCAAATACTAGCTTTGCTTCTTGGAGAGGGCGACAGACAGTGCCTGGAAGGCCAAAACATTTGCCGATTGGTTCATGTTCTGTTGCGGGAGCATCTTGGGAATCTCCACATCAAACACTGCCCTCCCTCAGATGCGATTTGTTGCACTAGAGCTGAGTCAGAACCTTGATTCTTGTCTTTTTAACCCAAACAGGTATCAACTTGTAGCCGCATTGTATGCAGTTTCATGTGTTGACAACAACATAGCTGACCTGCAAAGGTCTCTAACTCTAGCGCGCTCGATCTTTATCCCTTGCCTCCCTCTCTCTCTATCCGTACTTTTGCACTTTGAAGCCATGCGCAACCACTTCCTTGATTTCAAGGTCTCAAAGGCATCGAAGGAGCCTGAGAAGATGGAGCTGGAGGTGGTGGCACGATGGTGGGGTGTTTGGAAGTTTGTGGAGACGCATGGATTCTGAGCAGTTGGAAAGCGTTTGGCCTCCCTTCGTACCCTCGGACTCGACTTGGTACCTTTGGTCCAGTCTAGGGTAGTACCGGTAGTACTGTTCACAGTGAGCATTGCATGCTTGATACAGGTCTTTGATCACCCAGTGCTACATGGGCCACTGAGCCATGCTACATGGGCCACTGAGCCACCCAGTTCCTGGAGGCATTGAGTCAGAAAAATTCATGCAATTGACTAAACCCACTTAGTAAGAGGAAGCTTGAGTGAAATGCTTGAAATTCATCTTCGTCCTTCATAGTTCAACATATTTCATCAATTTTTCCCACCATCTTGTCTGATCTACTTCTCAGTTGATCCCGCACTGCGGTCGGCTGAAGGAACGATTCCGACGATTGCGTCATGTTCCGCACGCGCCATCATGGTAGCGGCCACACCATGATTTGCTGCTGTCGGTTGTCACAATAAGTGTGTGTGTGTGTGTGTGTTCTGACTGACATGCACTTGTTCAAGTAAACACAGATGGCCACTAGTGCGATCGCCAGGCAAGAAAATTCGGACTCTGTGGACATCTATTCAGATGGTCCAAAGCAGGTGTGTTGCGATCTAGGAAAAAGAAGTACCGTGTGTTTATGTGTTTTTTTCATGGTTTTTCCACCTAAGAATCTTGGCCAACGAGTTGACTACCCCATTGGTTGATCAACTGAAATACTTGAAAACTCGTCAATGCGGTTGCGGTGTCTTGACCCCTCGCGGTTGCGCAAACGCGCCGGCTTCACAGGTAGAAGGCGATGCAGAGGCTGTGGAGCCGAGTGCGACAGATCGGACGGACCATGCGGAAGACCCGTCTCGAACGGACGACTGGCATAGGTAGTAATGAATAGCTGAAGATAAGAACAAGTAGCAAAAGAGAAGCTGAAGCAAAGCTGTGACGGTGAGAAGATCTTACAATCTACGTCATACAGCTTGCTGGCATCCATTCTAAGCACATGATCAGACATTTCAAAACGATCTCAGTCTTAGTTTGGGAGAAGCATTGGGATGTTCTTGTGGACCTTGGTGAGATGTTTGAATGAGAACCAACATTAACCAACTCAGCATACTTCAGCAATCGTGAGTTGTTTGTGAAAGGAACACATGGAGACCTGTAAAGACCTCAGGAGGGTTTCTTGCTACCTTGGTTGTTGTTAAGACCTTGAAGACCTCAACTTGTGGAGGTCGCTAGACCTGTTTCATCGCAGGAAGAGGTAGTGGGGTGTTTGACTTGTGACCAGCCTCATAGTTGGCCTTTGTTTAGGGGAGAAGATTGAAGTCAAAGCTAGCTTAGCTTCAGCACTTTGTAGAGACTGGGGGTAAGGTGACCACCGGACAGAGTGTATTGACATTGAGGATCACACTGTTGATGGACAAGTTCTGTTTAGACAAAAGGTATTGTTCTTCAGCATTTGCAAAGTATTTTTGACGGCACGACCAGTGGAAATTTGATGACAGTTGGACAATCACCAACAGAGAACCTACCAGCAGCATGGTCATGTACTTGGTCCACTCCACTAGTTCAATAGCAACAGGAAGTTTGAAGTCGTCCCCAAAATAGATAGCACGGTTTCACAATTCTAAATTTGGACATCTACTTGTCTATCTATATATTTGGAGGGTCTATACAAAACGGAGCCATGGCCACGGTGAATAACAAAGCGCTTCACTGGCAGGCCTCCAGCTTATTGGACCAGCTGGACTCGCTGGCGCCGCTTGGCGCGAAAGAGACGCCGGTCGCAAGTGGAGTTTTGATCGTCCCAAAATAGAAAAGAATAAGAAGCAATTAGAATTCCGGAAGCATAGAAAGATATGTCCAAATATAGAATCTATCGACTATACCGGACCAAGGCTTTAGTTTAGGGTTCCGCTAACCCTCTCACATGACCTGATGAATGGGGAGCGCTATAAAGAGGATTCAAGGGGGAGCGCTAGGATCTGATGGGGTCGCAAACGGCGATGGTTATATTCCGGGGGGTCCTGGTTTGATTGGATTCGTATCAAGCTTGTCTACCTCTCTACTTCATGTCTACCTCACCTTAACCCACTGCTGTTTTTTGCAAAATATCCTCCCTCCTCGTCAGTTTTTTTTTTCCAGAGGTTCATCCTCGTCCTCATGGCCTCTTTCTTGCGTGTTCCCACCCACATCATTCTTCCTTTTGCCGGACCCCATGGTTTTCTGCTGCCAGTGTTGCTTCACCGATCTCCTTCCGCTGCTGCCAGCTGCCGCAGCTGCCTGCTGGCTGCCTACTTTTCCAGCTGTTTTGCTGCTTTTGGTGCGCTGGTTTGCTGCTGGTGTTGCTGTGCTCTTTTGCTGCTGGTATGGTGATCTGCCGCTGCTGACTGCTAGACTGCTAGACTGCTAGACTGCTGCTGCTATCCAGCCTTCATTGCCTGCCAACCTTTCGTCCATCCCCCTTCTCTCAAAATGAAAAATAGACATGGAGACATAGACCGGGACTCATAGGGCTCACCAATGTGGGGGACAAAGAATAATTTATTGACAGTTTTTGTTTTGACTCATGAGGTGTTTGAGGCTCAGTGGTTTGAGATGGTTTGGGTGAATTATGATAGAAGAAGATCAAGTCCCAAGTTTGCTACGTTGCAGGAATCTGCAGGATAGGACATCACACTCAAAACATACTGTGTGGAAGATGCTGCTGTCAATTTGTTTTACTTTTCTATTGTCTCCGTCTCCTACTTGTTGCTTACAAACCTTTGGGCGTTGGATGTCGATCAGCAATATTTCAATTCAGCTATACCCGTGGTATTTGTGTGCGACTGAGTCGCTGAGGTCAACGCCAGGTGTCCGTGCTAAGAACAGTGCTGTCCCCGAGGCGGCAGGACACGAGGAGGCAGGACCAAGTGTGGCGGAGGTGAATTCAACATCATTTGGACCGCTTGTGCAGTGATCATCGACGTTCCACCCGCAGTGCAAACACAGAATCTGCTGTTTTTCCACGACTTGTTGTTCATTTCAGTATGAAGAGCAAGAGCGGGTCGTGAGAGACGAGGATTTGCACTACGAGAAGAGAAGAGAACTCTTCGATCGTTTTCAATGGTCTCAATGGTATACTGAATCTTTGGTGAGCCGTCTTGTTTGATTGTCGCTGGCTCATTACAACTGAAAACACCTTCTTATAGTCTTTATAGTTGTCATTTCTCTCAGCAGAACCTGCATTCATTCGTTCGGCCTGGCATGTGTTCGACTGCGCAAAGAGAAACATCCAGGTTGCACAGCTTTGGGACCGGATCAATTATTTGGAGAGACGCTGCAGGCTGGGTAGGGCATGGGGCTAGACAATGGTGCAGGCTGGGTGGTTCTGTATCCTCCTTCAATGTGATAGGAGAAGAAACACCTCTAGATTGATACATATTTGTACCATTTTGGTACCGTTTCTTGTGCCGTTTCTGAATCTGGAGTCCGGAGCACATCCCATCCGGAGCCTTGCGTCGACTCGTGTTGGTCAATGGTACACAGTGCTGACAACTGTGCATGTGATTGAGCGCAAGACACTGTGAGTCAAGCCCAATGGTTGTAGTCGTGGATTGGCGGATTTAAACAATATGTTTGCTTGCTTGGAGGGATTGAGTTTTAAAGTATGCAGTATCCAGTATCCTGTAAATGTAATTACCAGCATGTACCGTATAGTTTTGCAATTCAGGGAATTCAGAGGACATGGGTGAACCATTCATTTGTCGTTCCAAACACTAGATGTTGCTGCTAAGTGAAGTGTGACATATGTATCCATGTCCGGATGGCGAGTGGCAGGACGCTTCAAAAGAAGCTGGACGCCCGTCCCATCATCTACCAAGCACCCACAGGCGTCATTTTGTGAGGTGATTTTTGATGATAGTTGAATATATATATATAGCTTCAAGTTGAAAGTTCACTATGTTCAATATGCTATATTATACTGGGTTCTCAGAGCATTTGCATTCTTTATGTCTACTTTGGGATTGCTGAGATTGATGGTCCGATTGCTGTAAGATTCATTACCTATAGGTAGAGAGGGAGAGAGAAGTGAATTCTATTGAGGGGGCCGGCCTGCAAATTATTCGATATGGCATGATTGTGTAGATGAAAGATTGTGACCTGTCCAAGAAATCAGCCTTTCTCAGGAGAGAAAAACAAATGATGTGTTGAAGTCTGCTCTCGGGCGCTGGCTTTTCAGCCCCACAACATTTGCAAGGCTATGGTCCTTTGAACTTAGAAGCCGGAGGAGAAGTCATAGGCACTGGTATTGTGACGACACGGCCGCGATTGAGACCAGCACGGCAGCCATAGAAACAAGATGAAGTCTTTAAAGCAAAAGCAAAGCAAAACATAAAAAGCAAACAAACAAGCAACACAATGTCATTTTGCATGTTGTCGTTTTTTGTCGTTATTGTCCGCCTTGTTTTCACATGGTTTCTTTTCACGTTTGTGTTTCTGTTGTTTCATATGTTTTCGATGTTTTTCCGAGGAACGTACAGCGAATATTGCTGACTGGTAAAAGTTCTCATAAGTGCAGAAATGGTACCAGGAAGAAAAGCAAAACACCGGTAAACACAAATGCAACAACAATGCAAATTGCTTTGTTTTTGCATTTTCATTTGCTTTTGTTTTGTTTTTCGTTGCAATTTGTTTGGTCATGTATAGTTGCAATTGCTCGACTCAAGGCCGAGGGTTCTTGGGAGACTGCAAAAGAGATGACACAATCAATATCCTGAAGCTCTTCAATTCTAGCACTTTTCAGTGCTTTGCCATTTGCCATTGAACTTTTTTGGCCAGAAATGCTATACCAGCAGAAAGGCCATGCCTGAGGCTTGTCTCAGGGTTGAGTTTATTTGGCTATATTCAGCCCTAGCATGCCTAGCATCCAATCGATCCAGCATGTTGGGGTAGTCTGCCAAACACACATGGTGTCTATGGAATGTCGGTCGGACACCGCGCTTGTCCGGGCATCCGCTGGTCCCGGCGTCCCCCCCACCTGGGGAGTGGAAACTCATTGAGGGGTTTGTGAGGTGTCGATGAGTTAGGTGGTGTAGCGGGGGGCCCTAGCAAAATTAATAGAACATTAATTGAGGTAAAAAACAGAACTTCAATTAATTTCCTAAAGTCAGGTATGTACCCCTTCAATTGTTTTTTTTTTCATTGAGGGGCCCCCCCCAAACCCCCGAACGTCGTAGGCCGGGTGAGTTGGGAGCCATGGCTCCAAGAGGCGGCGACGGGAGACCGAGGTGATGGGGATGTCTTTTTGCACGGTGTAGAAAGAGGCTTTGCGTTTTGGAGAGTTTTGTGGTGGATATTGATGATTTGTATTATACACATAATATGTGAGTAAGAGGTCTAAGAAGGTGTACTACGGACCCATATTTTGGAGCACAATGCAAAACGCTTGTAAATCACAACCTAAAACATACGAATTCGGGATGAATTCGATGGCATGGCCCCGATTTCAGGATTTGCATGTGGGTCGAATCAAAGTACCTGGCATCCAGACGCGTTGTGGTCGACGAAGTCCACACGTCTCGATGCTTGCCTCCGTCATGCTCCCCCCGGTATACCCAACACATAGCTTCAGGAAAAGGGTAGAGTGGACAGCTGTAACGGTTGTGCGCCGTGTGCTGCGTATGTCTGATTTTTGATCGTTTGAAGATTAGATATTCTTGACATGTGTGACTGCGTTGCTCTTGGTTCACATAAGCTTACTTGTTTACAAGCAGGGTCTCAATCAACGAGGGCCGTCGGAACATGTATTTACAAGAGGAGCAGCCGCAGCAAGGAAAAGGACCAGCAACAGCAGACGAGGAGGAGGAAGAGCAGGAGCATCGGGAGCAGGAAAAGGGATCAGCTCTATGGACCGAAACACGTTGCGTTGCGTTTTTGATACCTCAGTCTAGAGTCTAGAGTCATTGATTCTGCCATACCAAGCTGGGTTGCATTCTCCAGGTTGAAACACATTTAAGTTGAGGTTATGACAGTTGTGTGACTTGCAAACCCGACTTCAAGGAGAACACACCAAGATTTTTGCGGGGCATTTTGAGCCAGTTACTATAGACGGATGTTTATCCCAGAAGTCCGTGGGCCGTCCGTGTGAACGACCCAAGTGGGGTATTGATGAATCCACTACTACCCTAGGGTAAATCAACTGAGGGCTATTGAATAGTACGCACCTCACACACATCAAAAAAGAAACACACATTCCAGGGAAGGGATTTGATTTGAGAATTACTTTCAGACAGGAAACTAACTGACGGGTGTTGTTTTGGCTGTTGTTGGTTGGACATTATTGTATGCTTATGGACATAGACATATCCCATCCACAAAGCAATCCTGGGGTAGGGACTAATTTCACGACCATGCACATGTTAATTGCACCATGCACATGTTGATTAATCAATGCCCAACACTATTTCCACTTGCTTTAGTGAACTGTGTGACTCCAGAGAATGGTGAGACCCATGCGTTTTCGGTGCAGTGTTCAGCGGGTGGTTGGGCCACTGGTGCCGGCGAAACGGTGCCACAGGTCACAGGCTCTGTAGCCAGACGTCTCCACTTACCACAGGCACGGAGGAATTCCACAGGGATTGGAGAAACAAAACTCAAGAAGCAGAAAAAGAGAGAAAGAGAGAGAGCATGGTAGGTCGGAACAGAGACCAGTCGGGGATGACCGTTCAGAGGATGCTCCCGAAAATCAATATGTTCCTTGCCATTCTTGTGTGATGCAGTTGGTAAGGTTGGAATCTTGAAGAGAGGCTTCCTCGCTTTATTCGATCGAAGACACATCTTCCTGGAATTGTCAAGCTTGTCGGTGTGGTAGGCTTCCCTGTGAGAGGGCCATGTATAAGCTAACGCTTTGGTATATTACTAGTTATAGTGTTCCCCAGATAGAAACGGTGTCCAATACATTCTTAGTGGGGATTTGCTTTTCTATCATACTATTCGGGGTCCGGGTCCGGTCTATGTATACGTTTCCTGTAGTCAATCAACTCCATAGCTTGGAGCTCGTTGTGCGAACTGATGATAGAGCAAGGGCCCATTCTGGGGCCGCCAAAAGATCATCATGGAGCTTCAAACCGGAGAGCATCGGAGAGCATTAAGAACACGACCGGATTTGGTCCCAGGTCCCGAGTATTTGGCCATTGGTCCTCAGCACGTTCAGGGCGCATTGATTGCATGTGTAGATACTATGCATCTATTTGTTGTGAACAGAACAGAGTGGACACTTGTCATCACTATCACCTACTCTACCGCTATTATAACATGTAAACACCCGTGACCTTCGTACCAGTTATCCCAGGTACATTCAACAACACTTGCCTGCGACCGGCACCGATCCAGGGCTCCGAGCACAGAGTCGCCAGTGTGGCTGCGCCGCTGGTCAATATTGTTGACACCCACCTCACCAAAGTCATCCAAGTATGAGGTGGGTGTCTTCGTCTTCTTTGGTTCCCGAATTCGGTGTTTTGTGTCTTTCTCCGAAGTCTCTGTTGGGGATTTCCGTCCCAAAGCAACACCTCGGGTGGGTCCTGTCACAACCTCGGTGGCTGGTGGTTGAGCGGAGCGAGCGTATCCCGAGTGGAGAGCCCGGGACCGAAATTGGAAGGTCAACGCAAAGCGCTGGAGTCTGACCGAAAGCTGGAGTTGACTGAGCTGTTTCACCCTGATTGGAACCATGTGAGTCACAAAGGCTTTTGGCATGTTTGTGTACTGCATGGTAGACAGTTGGAAGGGGTGCAGGAACATGACTCTCCAGGAGCTAACAGGATTGCTCACTGTATGGGCAGGTGTTCAACAAAAAGGGCGCAGAGTAGAGCAGAATAGTGCAAATCAATGCGCAATCAGAGGCTTTGCAGGTGATTTGTTCCATATTTGTACATTTATTTGCGTCAAACGACAACTACACCATGGGTGCTGTTTACGGATACCTTCTTATTGTCGGATTCATACGCCCAGTTAAACCAGACCAAAGGGTTGTGTGTGTGAACTGTGCGGACGTGTTCCAAATTCTAAGGCCATTGTGCCAAGCCATCGAAGTGCATGAGCCTCAATGCGAAGTACTCGTACCCGACGAACTTACCTGGTCTGTCTAGACAGCAAACAAGATGGGTCTTCAGATGCCCATGCGGACGGAAGGAAATCACCAGATGGATCGGAACCGATGTCATTCTTTTTTGAGACGTTCATTATTGCAAGGTCATTGATTTGGATATATTTATAGTTCCGTCACGTTCCGTCCTTCAGAACCTTTACGCCTTTTTTGGTTTCAGGAGCAAGGAGTGCAAGAACGATGATAACGATGTTTGGTATTCCTCCCAAGAACAGGTCATTGAAGAGGATGGGCTTGTGAGGATGGGCGGGTCGTATCGACGGAGTTGGCGCAGCATTGCTGAAACATCGAGGCCTCCGCGTCCGGATGTGGATCGAGCTAACAGGCAACAAATTGGTATCACAAAGTCTATAAGCGGAGAATTCCGCAGGTAATGACTGCTGGTTCCTTTGACTTGTTCACCTTGGACCTTGGTGTGTGGTTTCTACACAAGCACTTGAAGCAAAGACCGAGGCCCTTGCGCAACTTCACGCAGAGGCTTCTAAGGCGTGAGCAAGTCTGAGAGACTCCAAGAGGGAGCCTTTCTTCGCACCCAAGAGCTTGAGCTTAAGTCAACAGCACAGGGGTGTGGGTGAGTTCGTGTTGTTTGCTGCAGTTTTTGTGGATAGTATTACTATAGTGAGTGGTTTGTATAGCTATTCTAGATGTAGTGGGTAACCTATAGCTATTTATTCTATTCTAGCTGGGCTTGGATATGATTTGGGTATCTTCAACCTCAATTTACTAATACTAGATATTCAATGATATTCAACTGTTATAGAGAGATACAATGGCAATCAATGGCATATCATATTATCCAAATGTCTTCTCTAGAATCGCCGAACAGACGGGACGACTCCTGCGCTCTTTACTTCCGCCAGGAGAGACCGGTGGTTTTGGGTCTTCTATGCCACCTGGGCAGCGCTTGTTTCGTTCAGCTCCGCCGAACTGATTCGTCCCGAAAAAACGTCCCGTTGTGACAAGTGCCAGGCTAGTAGTAACAGGTACCTTACTAGTAGTAACAAGAAGCCATTAGAATTGAATTTAGATGTAAATTAATAGCTTCTTGTTACTACTAGTAAGGCACCTGCTACTACTAGCGTGGCACTTGTTCAGCTCCGCCGAAAAAAAGTCCCGTTGTTCAAGAGGATTGCGGAAGGGTTCGGAAGGTGCGACGGAGGACTGGCTGGTGCGAAGCGCGTACGGAAAGGCGCAGAGAAAAAGAGTGTAAAAACCATGTGGGGGATGCAAAGCTGTTTGCAGATCTAGGGACGGTGATTGTTGTTGGAACGCAAGCCAGACACAAAGATAATAGTCAGCATCAGGACCAGCCACGTAATGTTTGGTGGCCAACATATACCAAAGAATATAAACTGACTGGTTCATCCTAGAACAAATACTGAGAACATCTGAGAACCAATGAGATTTGGTATGAAATGTCTCATATTTCCTGATGGTGATTCAACATGTCGTACATATTATGGAATCTTCTGTGATGACTCCAGTGGTGACCGTTCTTACTCCCATGGCATTCTCGTCTCAACGTGCCTCCACCACAGTTAGACTGATGGACTGAGAGACTTCTGAATGAAGCTCCGTGGCATCATAGGGATGCTTGCCACCTGGAAACGATGTTTTTTTGCTTTCCGTAAACATTTGATGGTTGAACCACCAGCGTCAGCAAAGTGCGTAAGCTTTGCTTGACCACGTGTTAACATGTGTTTGCAGCAGAGACGAATGAAAGGAGAAAGCTCATGTTGCGGTGTGGTACAAAAAGTTTGTCCTTATTGTTTGCGTAAGCCTAGAATATATGCACTTGAACCCCCTACATGACGAATATAAAATGAAATGTCACGTAAGCAAAACGCAAGAACTTGCATGAACACATCCTTGCGACACATGAACACACTCCGAACGAGGGTTTAGTTTTCTTTTGAACAATGTTCAAATTTGCAGTAGTTGTTTTGTTTGGCCAACTGTTTCTGAGGTTCATTTGCTTTTGCTCTACGCCATTGCGGCCTCCTGCATTGCAAGAAGCTCCAATCCTGTTCGGGGCACCAAGCTCTGATGGAGCGTGGTTCCATGCCGATATAGCTTCTTGTTACTACAGGTGAAGCCATTCCCAACGAAGCTTCTAGCTACGTTCGTAGCTTCTTGCTCCTAGTAGCGATGGCCTCCACCTACTAGCGTCCTTGCTCCTAGTATTCAAAAGGGCCTTTGTTCCTTCATGAAGCGACAACAAGCAGCAAGTACTGCTACTCCCTTCACAGGCCTTTTGCCCTCTTGTGTAATGGGTTTGTGGGTCAACAACCTAATGTGAAGGTCCAAGGCATATAAAGCCAAGTCATTTGGGTGTTTGCCAGAAGTACGTAATTGTTATGCAAAGCTACTTCTTTGGGTTGAGGGTTGTAAATTACTATAGAACCGAGGTCACGTTCGTAGAAGAATGTTGGATGGGTCACACGAAAAGATCGCAACGACAGTTAGACACGGGTCGCACCAAAACCCAGTCGTTCGAAGGTGGTTTACTCTGTTGAAAAGTTGCACCCTAAGCAAGGATTGGTTCCGTGCCAAATATTTGGATTTGGATGGATTTGGATGGATTTGGGTCTTTGCCAAGACCTGCAGCGGTTTGGGCTTTGGATTGGCGGGCTATCCGGGCTATCGGATCGGTGTACACCACGCATGCGATGTCGCTGACTGTCGCTGATGAGGTGAGCCCCGCCGAATGTGTGGATGCTCGACTCCATCAACTTCAAGCCGCAGAGGGCCTCAGTCTTCGTGCGACGGAAACGAGGGCGTTGGTTGATGATAAGGCCAGAGGAGTGGCAAAGGCCCCAGGCGTCTCACAGTGTTTTTGGTTTGGCAATCATAAGATTCTTAGCCTCCGGAATGCTGAAAGATGGCAAACGCGAGGAAACCACCTTGGAAAAAGAACATGAAGACTGTTGATGGACAGAGTCCAAAACGCAGCTAAACCTTAATTACACAAGATTACACCGCAAAGAATGGAGTATCCCGGTATCCTCCAACTCAGATGGTGCAGATGCCTTGATTGAGTAGGATAATTCTGTTCCTTTTCCAATATACGTGGGAGCAAGGGGCGCGGTTGACCTCATTTCTGAATCATTCAGAAAACTTTTTACGGCCTTTGGATTTTGAGCAGAGATGCAACAATACCTTCACTTGCCAGGCTTTGCATCCTGGCCGAAGCCTTCCTCCTGCATGATAGAGGTAATGGGTTCCATAGAGGCAGTTCAAAATTGAAGTATTTGGCTTTATATATGTTGCTCGTCTCAGCAACTAGATACAAACAAGTGCTGAAAGGCCAATGCAACTTGGATTCACCAAGGGCGTTTTTTTACTTGTCTTTTCTGGAAACTGCTAGTTGCGTCATTGGTCACTTGCATTTGTTGCTCATGTGGCCCACTTTCCTCACTAGTTTTGCACCCACTGACAGCTTTTGTGATGGGGACAAGGGAGAACCCGGAACCCGTTGGTCACGGCTACTTTGAGGGACTAATGCTGGAATCATGAATGTGTCGCAAGAGAGTTTTGCCATGTTTGGCCATTGTTTGGGTTCAGACCGTTCTGGCGTTATGGCTCACATTTGGTGTCTTTGCAGCCTTCTCTTTGCTATAGCCTTGACGGGTTCCTTAGAGCCCTGGCTGGTAACGCACCTGAGGGCTCCTGGTCTGGGAATGTCCCAGGGGTCCCATGATGACATGTTGCCTGAGAGAATGGACACCAATAGGCATCCCGTGGATAGGAACCTTGGAGGTTGTCCAAAATTCCATCCCGATTTACATCTATAGCTATTATATACATATATATATATATATGCGCGTTTGGAAACCAGGACAGGTTCGAACCCCGGTCTTGCTGGACCTCCTTGACACACACTGTTTTCAGTATGAAGCTGTGGATAGATGTTGGACAGTTAGACAGTTGCAATGCCGCCGGCCAGAAGCCCAAACACCGAACAAAGATAGCAAAAAGGAGCAGAGGAGTGTGTGGAAGCAACTACCAAACAAAGGAATCCAGACGCGCAAACCTGTTGGGGAACCTCATCCACATGTGTTAAAGAGATGGCTGATATTGTGTTGTTCCACTTGCAAGCCATGTTTGGTTTGAGGAAACATGTAAGAAGGGGTGCGCCTGGCCACGGAATGACTGCACCATTGATCATCTACAAAAGCAAAGAACCGTCCTTCCACGTGACGACCTGTGGATTTGTTTCCTAAGCGTAGTTGTGAAAAGGTCAAGTCAGTTGCCATTGTACTCAGACCAAGTATGCCACCCTGATTGACTCAAATCGCAATCACTGATCTTGGCAGACACATGTTTATCACCACTTGATATTTCAGCCCACAGCATTCGATTATACAAGTATTACTATCTTGTACTCTGGTGCTAAATTCCTGTTGCCGCCCGCAAGCAAACAGGTCGATCGAGCGAGGCGCAACCATTCAATTGTAGGGCATATCTACTAGGCTAGGGAACCCTAGATACACTCCGACTGACTCACATCAAAATGCGAAGTGGAAAAAAAAATACGGTTCGTAAAGGAAACATCGTCTTCCAAGGAACCATCATTGTCCACTTCCATGTTAGTTACGAAAGCCAGCCTTCGTAGAAGGCGCCAGCTGAGTTGTGCTTGGCGAACGAAGTGAGTAGTTAGGGGGTCTGGGGGGGGGTGGCCCGGTGAGTCGGAGTGTATATAAATTGGAAAGACTGTGGAGATTCAGCTACGAGATGCTACTTGTGCCGACGATCGGTATGTTGGATTTGTCTGGTGTGAAATTTTGCGTCGGACGACGTTGTATGTTGAGACGATTATACAAGAGTTCTTGATTGCAATTCTTTGATTTATCGCAGGAAACATTTGGAAAAGATGTTCGTTCTTTATTCCAGAGACTAGACATACATTCAAGAGTTTCTCATGTCCTGGTGCACATCCAAGGATGCCATGTCCCTTCCACGCGTGATCGGGAGCTCTCCTTTGGCAAGGCAAATTGATTTTAGCGATGCTTGGAAGGCCTCCACGCACTCACGTCCCCACACTGAATTAGCCTGGATCCGTGTTGAAGTTATCCAGCGGATGAAAGACTTTGAGCAACCTAACACTGTTGGTTCTAAGATGAATCATCGATTCATCGATGTTTCTTGTGGCATTCCCAGCAGACTTCCCTGCACATATTGCCAGGGAAGGACTTGAAATGGTTGAGAGTCGAGCGGTGTAAGATATCCTTCTTCAAAAGAGCACCAATTTGGTCGATCACTACTTCACTACAAAGTAGAAGGGGTGAAGACTAAAAGGGGCGAGGCTCTTAGGGGTTCCTTGTTCACCCTATATATTTTTTACTAGTGACTCATTACCATTAGCCGTTTCTTTGCAGATCGTTGGAGGTTTTGAGCGACTTCATGTGTGTTCTCCATTCCATCCATGGAAGAGGTGTGTTCTCCCCTCTCGCACGAAATCCTCAGGTTTTTGCTGTTTGATCTACGCGACTCAAAACGGCTGGAAGTTGCCCATCTTATTCGAAGAAATGCAAAGCCCCTACGACTGGTGCTTGGTGGACTTCGAGAAGAACGAACAGAAGTCTGAGGCGGCGTTTGAGGGGTCAAATCTCGAAGTGTTTGGTTGAAAGTGTCAATCAACGCTGGTGGTCGAAAGTACCTGAACCTTGCGATGCGCTTCTCAATTTTTTTGAGTCTGAGAGGAAGACATTTGTCTCGAGCCCAAACCAGTTGCGTTTGTTTCTTCGTAGGGTACTGGTACCCGCTGGTACCAGCCGCTTTCTTCATTGCCATTTCCTAGGCAAGCTAGACAGAGCTTGACCCAGCTTGGCTTTCCCAGCTTGCCGTGTCTCGATATATCCGTTCTCGAACTGTTCGCATTTGAGGCGTTCTTGAAGATCAATCCCAATGGGCGAATTCCTGCGCTCATCGACCGGCAAGCAGGTGTCACGGTGGCGGAATCCGGAGCAATCCTGGAATATCTCTGTGAAGTTTTGAAGAGTCCCTTGCTGCCACCCAAAGACACCGAGCTGAATACGACATGCAGTACAGGAAGGTTGTATATATTCTAGGTACAGAAACAGGTGAGTCTGAGTGATAACTCAAGTATACTCAAGTCTATTTGATTGAACTGTTGTTTGTTTGTTTGCTAGTCCCAAGAGACCCGCAAGAGCTTGTTTTGAGTTTGTATTTGTTTGGCGGGAAGAGCTGAAAGCTGGTCATCAGTCAGGGTGAGTTGGAAAGTGTGCAGCTGTTTGAGGATACAAATCTGCAGAGGCACTTGCAATGCAAGCAGTGGCTATACTGGCAACTGAAATGCTTTTCATGCAGTGCTTTGCTTTGGGTTCTTTGTTTATTTACTGTATTTGTTGTTACCATTCTTTCTACTGGTATTTACTAATGGGGGTCTCTATATCTGATGTTGATGGGCTGGGGAAAGTGAGGCAAGTGAGTGGGCAGGGGCCGATGCTTGGGCAAAGCTTCTTGGCCGAGTTTCGGAATCCAACATCTGTGGTTTTGTATCAAAGATGATCAAGCTCTATTTTTTTCTTTTATGGTTTCATTGATCAGACTTTGTGTTTTTTTTTTAATGGTTTGTTCTTGTATTTTTGGATAAATGACAACATGTGGTGTCATGAAACCACAGACAGGACAAAAGCGGTAATTACACACGGACAGCCGTGTTTGGGAGATGACATACATCGCTGTCCGGCTTCCGCCCTGAACCAAGTCACCATAGCTGTTATCTAGTGTTGGAAACCGCAGGAATGGCTGGAATTATGTTGCTAAGGGATATATATATATATATGTATAGTGTATCTTGTATTATATATATTTACATGTGCAACGTTTTCCTGCTTGGGAAAGCATCTGACATGTGCGGGGATGAGTCAATCATCCCACCATAGAGGCCTGCATCATGTTGTTTCATCTTTGGATTTTTGTTGGGCTGGGGTTGCCTGGGGGGTGAACTGTTGATGTTCACTGACTCAACTTGGACCCGGGCCCCACACAAATGTCGCTCGCCTTCAGCGGGCCGAGCCCCTGTCGGTGGACCTCTTGTTTGGTTGTACCGTTGCACTGAAAGAAAGTGGAATCAGGATGCTGTGGAACCTCATCCACCATCCATGGATCTGCAATCAAAGCTGTGGTGATGACGCTGATGATGTCGTTTTCTAATATATGTTGTTCAACACAAACAAATCCGTGTAAACAGATGAACCGGATCTGTGCGCCGGTTTCAGTTCTTCAAAAGCTGAAGGGTGCCGGACAAGCCACAGCAACTAGCAACACTAAGTACATAATTACACACATCGCCTTGTTTCCATGACTACGGACCATGTATGCATCACCACTGACTTCGTTACCAACGGTCGTCTACTGCAGTGCGATCTAAAACTCTTGCAGCTCAAACGGCCTGCGTTTGCATGTTTTGGTGCGTTTGCATGGCCTCGAAGCTTCAAACGAACCAGTCCAAACGAACCAGTCATCCACGTGCCACGCTTTCGAGTTCCAAGAGTTCGCCGGGTTCTAGACTCGTCCCACGCTGTGAGTCTCGGGTTCTTTGCGTCCCAGTCTCGGACCAAGCGGCCCGGGTTTTGTTGAGTCCCGAGCCTGGACAACCCGCCTGGAAGGAAAGACGAACTGGCCCAGTCTCCAACAGCTTCAGAAGAACAGTTAGAAGCATTACTGACCATTTTTTCGGGGGACGTACTGCAGACCTTTGTGTTTGTACTGCAGA